TTCGCTGGCAGCAAGTTCGGCATCAGCTCTGGCGAATGAACGAACACCGTGGAAAAGTGTAGCAGGGTCACGCTGCGTGGCGAGATACTGTTCGAAGACAGGAAGGGTCAGATTTTCGTAGAAAATACAGTCGCGGGCAGGAATTAAAAGACGACTGCGATAATCCATGATACGCCAGGCAGAAAACTGCTTCTCAAGGCCGAGATGAAGACCCCACTTAGCGCGTTGATCGAACTTTCCGAGCGGAGCGGTGGGAGGACGATATTGCACGATACACCCAAAAACTCGAAGAAGTTTCGTAGTGCCCAATTTTCCTGTCCACAACAAGTGAGGTGATGCGTTGTTGGGTAGAGCCGATGAAGACAGGAGTTTATGCAACAGTGTTGCGTGGTCCATTGCGAAGGGCCAGTAGAGTGGGCCGAGTTGAGATTGTGCGAGTAGTGCTCGCATCTTTTCTTGCAGAGTACGATTGAGGCGTTCAGCTACACCGCTCTGTTGGTGAGCGTGAGGAAGTGAGAACGGGCGCCTGATGCCTCTTTCTTGCAGGTACGCTGTAAACTCGAGACTGCGATATTCCCCAGCTCCGTCACACTGAAAGGTTTTGAGTTTGGTGTCGGACTCGCGTTCTGCGAGAGGCAGCCATGTTCGAAACGCTGTGAAGGCAAGAAAACGGTTAGTCATATTACCAGTCCAGACGTATCGAGTAGAAGCTTCAGTGAACGTGATGACGTATTTCTCGCCATTGAAACCCTCCGCAGGTAAGTTTAGAATATCACAGTAAACTTTTTCCATCAATCGATAATCCTCAGCGCCAGGAAAATGAGTCGGATACGGTTCGTGCAGTAGATTTGCTGCTGGGCAGATCAAGCAAGGTGACGGACGATTAACCGGTTTCATTTCGAGGCCGCCAGGTAAGAGAAGAGAGTTCTTGTCGAGAACAGCTGCTTTGATTGTGTTGTTGAGCGTAGACTGCGACGGATGACCAAGACGCTTATGCCATGTGTCTGCAGTTGCTTTGTGTCCCTGTGTGCGCAGATAATAATCGGCGTTAGCGAAGAAAGATAACAGCAGCCGATGACCGTCAGCGTGAACATGATCTGTGACAGGCGGGATGAACCTGGTAAGGTTAGGTGGTGGAATTTTGATTTCAACGTCGATGTATTCGCCAGTGAAAGAACTAACTCCCCGCTCTCTTGATCTGATGCTGCAGGTTTAAGCTCAACGCCGACGAGTCGTCCGGAGTCGAGGACTTCCATGTCAGCGACACGCTGCTCTGCTTCAGTGAGAAGACGTTGATCACGATCAGCAGGTGTTTCTCCCCAAGTGGTCTCGTCAGGTTCCTGTGCCCCCCAAGTGCCTTCATCCGTGGTTGAAGACGTGGGTACGACTCCTTCACGAGGAACGGTATCATCGGTGTAATCGATGTCATCACGATGTTCCCATGGGCCAAGAGAGAGAATATTCTCGGAGTCGGCAGTGGTGCGTTCAGGTACGAAGTTGAGAACGAATACACCGTTCTGTTCGATTGCCGTGCCGAGTTTCCTGTCTCCATATTTTAAAGTAAACTTGCCCGGTTCACCAAGAAGAGTAATTCCATTCCTCATGAGCTGTGCAGATGACATCAGATTGAAGCCAAGTCGAGGAATGAGGAGTACATCGTTAAGATGAAGACTGAAGTCTTCTTCAACAGAATCAAGAATGATGTTACCCATCCAGTGTGATGTAAGACGTTGATTGTTGGCGACGGTTACAACGCATGGATTCTGAAGACGACGCTGATTGATGACGAAGTGGTTTTCTGATGAACACATATGCTGGCCGCAACAACTGTCGAGATATCAAGTGTTGGGACCTTCCAAGGTATGTGCAAGGTTGGCGTAGACCTCGGGTGGTATGGGCGTATTGAGTTCATCATTGAAGTTATTATGAATACGTTCTTCAGCGTCAGGATCGTAGACGATAGAAACTGACGTCATGCAATTAATAACCTCTTTTGCTTGTGTCTTGGCAGGTGTAGTAGGCGGCTTCGCTGAGTTCGGCTTCGCATTATTCTGTTTCACAGCTTCCGGCTTCTCAGCTTCCAGCTTCTCAGCTTCACCTGAAGAATTTTTGGTATGTTTCGATGCAAACCGCTTCCAAGATGGTTTATCCTTCGACCAGCAGGTATCAATAGTGTGTCCTGCTTTGCGACAAGAGGAACAAACGGGCTTGTGACGTGGATTAGAATAAAAACTGACTGTGTTGTTTACCACCTTTTTCCCTCCTCGAGCATTGTGCAGGTCCATATCCTGCTGCTCGGCAATGAGAGCGGCACATAGTGCCCCCTCGGACAACTGTGCTTGCATCCGGAGAATAGAGTGACACTGTCGCCATTCTGGTCCAAGACCCGCGAGTAGCACCTTGTGAAACATAGCGTCGGGGAAGTATCCTCCACACTTATGAAGTTGGTCGCACAGATTTCGAGCGCGGTTGATATACTGCGTCACCTTCTCGCCGTTTATCATCTGTATATTTGACAGCTGCGTTAAAATTTTACTCTGGTTGATAGTGTCCTTTGCCATGTGAACCCCTTGCAGATATAACCAAGCTGCTTCAGCGGGAGCGGCACTGGTACGAAAAGGACGAATACCAAGCTGTTCAGTCGGTGTCAGATTGCGAACGAGAGCTGTGTATGCAGTCAGCGACGCTGATCGAAAAGTGGCCTGTTGAAGTGGTGACCCGTGTGATGGAAAGGGTGCTGTGCCGTCGAACAACTGCCAGAATCCTGCGGTCTGAACAAGAAGCTCGAATTCAAAACTCCAAGTATAGAAGTCTTGACCGTTAAAGGGCATTGTCGTTTTAATTTTTGTTGGGTTTGCTGAAGCGGGAAGATAGTTTCCGGTGCCGTCAGCTGATTGTAACTGATAAAGTGATGGCATCTGTGACCCTTGTGGTGCTTGTTGTCCTTGTCCAGCAGGAACGAAAGAGAAGGAGTTATTCGACCCGTCGCTTCCTTGTGGCATCTGTCCATGCTGATAACTGGAGCCATCAAGGCTCATAGGAGTTGGAAACATTTGGTTAAGTGACAAGACGTCAGCATTGACACGTTGTTGAAGATTTGTTGGCTGGTAAGCACCTTGATATTGATAAGGTCCAGTCGGTACGAAACTGGACTGTTGTCCTGGTTGACTAGAAGAACCAGTGACTGCAGCTGCAGCTGTTGTGGCTGCTGATGCTGCTGTTGCTGCGGCTGCTGTCGATGATGCCGCTGCTGTAGTTGTGTGTACGGGTTGACTGCTCAGTGGCATGCCGTACATCGGTTGTTGCTGATATTGTTGTTGATGTTGTTGCTGCAGATAAGAATTGTCAGCAGCTGGAGACGCTGTTGGGCGTGATGGGCTCGTAACAGAAGAGCCGTTGTTGGATCGTGGAGAGCCAGACATAGTTGCAGAGTATGTAGTTGGAAGCTTGTAGTATCCTAAGACGCTCGCAATACCATGTTAGAATTTGAAATGATTGAGTAGGATCGTAATACTTAGGATGGTAGCTTCCTGTCGTAGCGGAAGTCTTGTATGAATTAAAGCCAGTTAATGAGGCTTTGTCTGGACTAGTGAAAGCCCATGTAGTGATATGTTTCAGGATCAATGTCTCTGAAATCAGATATATTAAAAATGACAAACATACAAAATATATAGCTAGAGTAAAGTACCTGTTCGCCTACTGTACTGTGCTCTTCCTGTTCTGAAACGGTACGTGACTTTTCGCGAGGCCTATAGCTACGTGCTGACGTCATCCTAGGGCGCGTAGCGCTTTGCTGTCGTCAGTCTATCGGTACTTTACTGTTTCGTGCGAAGTCTCGCACTGTACTACACGAATCCTTGAAGTGCTTAAGTCTTCATATTATCTCAACAGTAAGGAGGTCAGCGTCACATCAATTTTATTAGGATAAACATGTAGTACCGTACATCACTCAAAACATGGCACAAACGATTAGCAAGGTGGTTGCGATCGGCAGGAGTAGCACCCCAGCTACCAATTAACAAAAAAACCACACAACTAAGCAAGGCCCGATGATGTGGACACAACAAGGGAGAGCCAAGAGCAATCCCACAGTGACATGGCTGCAGCAGCTACCATCAAGCAAGTGGTTGGAGAATGATTAATGAACGAGAGATCATGGCCCATGGGGAATGGCCACATCTGAGGAGCTAAGGAAGGAGCTACCAAAGGAGGAAGTAGCAGCTCCATCTCTTGCTGTTAGGTCACAAGGAAAGGGGAGGTGACAGGACAGCATTCGCTGGTAGGTTAGGTTGGGGGGGTGCCTAAAGTTGTCATCGGGATAGTGGTGAGGGCGGTTTTGGCGGCGCCTTAGAAAGCACAGCACGCGTCGACAGGTTAGACGGAGGACTGCTTTTAAGTTGGGAAATCTGTGGATGGTGCCTTTTGAGACGTCTCAAAAGGAAATCTGTGGATGGTGCGGCATGGAGGAGGTCTCTCAGTGAAGGTGGTCAATATGTGGGGTGGATTCTCCGGCTTGAACCTCTTGACTTCAAAGGCTTTAAGATTGGCGAACGAGGTAGACTGCGTGGAGGTTGGGGGTTATGTGGATGGTGCGGCATGGAGAAGGTCACTGGGAAGGTGGCCAATAGGAGGGGTTGAATGGGGAGAGTGAATGAGGTCAGTCAGTGGATGCTGGGGGTGCTGGCTGGTGTGCGTCGGAGTGGCGAATCGGAATCGCTCCTTCAAGCACACGAGTGTTGCACTCCCTGAGAGGTTGTTGGGAAGCGGGGGTGCTTTGAAGTGTGTAGAAGCGGTGTGCAAATGGGGTCAGTTAGTGGATGCTGGGGAGGGTGCTGGCTGGTGTGCGTCGGAGCAACGCGTGCCCCTTCAAACGCTTCTGTTGCACTCCTTCAGAGTGCCTGGCGGAGGTCAGTGGATGCTGGGAAGGGTGCTGGTGTGTGGTGGCGTTTCAAACGCGTGTGGGGTGCCGCCTCCCCCAGGCATGCCTGCATCTGATGGGTTCAGACGAGTGGGGTCGTCCCATGGGCCTGGCGGGTGGATGGGCGGATGAGAGCAAGGGAGGGCGTTGAAGGGGAGAGAATATCAAGGGACAAAAACAGGCGAGCATGGTTGGGGCCACCTCCCCCAGGCATGCCTGCATCGGATGCGTTCAGACGAGTGGGGTCCTCCCATGGGCCTGGCAGGTGGAAGGGGTTAACACAAAGGGGAGGAGTGAAGGGGAAAGAAGTAGCATCAAGAGGAATGAAGAGGAGGGCAGGAATGGGATTGAGTGAGAATGGGGCACGTGGGGTGCCGCCTCCCCCAGGTATGCCTGCATCAGAGGCGTTCAGTCGAGTGGGGTCCTCCCATGGGCCTGGCGGATGGAGGGGAGTCCAGGGACGAGCAGAGAGAGGAGAGAGTGCTTGAGATCATGGGGCGTGTGAGGTGCCACCTTTTCCAGGCATGCCTGCATCAGAGGGATTAAGACGAGCGGGATCGTCCCATGGGTCTGGTGGATGGAAGAGCTGTTGAGAACAAGGGAGGGAGAAAAGGGGAGTGAATGGATGAGCATGGGATGAGAGGTCCCACCTCCCCCATGCATGCCTGCATCAGAGGGATTAAGACGAGCGGGATCGTCCCATGGGCCTGGTGGATGGAAGAGCTGTTGAGAACAAGGGAGGGAGAAAAGGGGAGTGAATGGATGAGCATGGGATGAGAGGTCCCACCTCCCCCATGCATGCCTGCATCAGAGGGATTAAGACGAGCGGGATCGTCCCATGGGCCTGGTGGATGGAAGAGCTGTTGAGAACAAGGGAGGGAGAAAAGGGGAGTGAATGGATGAGCATGGGATGAGAGGTCCCACCTCCCCCATGCATGCCTGCATCAGAGGGATTAAGACGAGCGGGATCGTCCCATGGGCCTGGTGGATGGAAGAGCTGTTGAGAACAAGGGAGGGAGAAAAGGGGAGTGAATGGATGAGCATGGGATGAGAGGTCCCACCTCCCCCAGGCATGCCTGCATCAGAGGGATTAAGACGAGCGGGATCGTCCCATGGGCCTGGTGGATGGAAGAGCCGTTGAGAACAAGGGAGGGAGAAAAGGGGAGTGAATAGATGAGCATGGGATGAGAGGTCCCACCTCCCCCAGGCATGCCTGCATCAGAGGGATTAAGACGAGCGGAATCGTCCCATACTTACCACCATCAGGTCGCCATGTGCGACCGGGTTGAAAATCGGGTCGCCACATGCCCGTGAGTGAGCCCTATTTTGAGGCGCCTTAAAATGAGCCCTATTTTGTAGCGCCTCAAAATGAGCCCTATTTTGTAGCGCCTCAAAATGAGCCCTATTTTGTAGCGCCTCAAAATGAGCCCTATTTTGAGGCGCCTCAAGGTTAAACATCGGGTTGCCACATGCCCGTGAGCCCTAGCTGCTGATCTGGCAGGCAAGGTCTAGCACATCCATCCAGCCCATACCTCTAGCACATACCAGCGTCTAGCACATACCAGCGTCTAGCACATACCAGCGTCTAGCACATACCAGCGTCTAGCACATACCAGCGTCTAGCTCATACCAGCGTCTAGCTCATACCAGCGTCTAGCTCATACCAGCGTCTAGCACATACCAGCGTCTAGCACATACCAGCGTCTAGCACATACCAGCGTCTAGCACATACCTAGCACCACCCAGCCCCCTTCCCTCCCCCACCCTTCCGCCCCCCCCCCCCACACCCGTACCATCGGGTCGCCACATGTCTGTGAGTCCCAGCTGCTGATCCGGCAGCAACCAGTAGTCCTGCCAGGGGCAAGGGGGGGAAAGAAGGAGCCTTTTAGACACCAAAGCATTGATTAAATCAATATGACTCAAAAGAAAGCAGGTGACCTCTGAGTCGACTCAAAAGCAAGCAACCCCACCCCCTCACTTCATGAACCCACTCAAAAGATGCACCAAAATTCACATCCGCCTATTTGACTTGCCCCATGCTCCCAATCCATGCGCTCAGAAGAAAGACCACACCCGTCCACCCCACTGACCAACTTGACCCATGCTCCCCTCATCACAATCCACATACATGTGACTCTGCAGGGATGACTTTTGAGTCGACTCAAAAGTCATGCCCACCCAATCTGACCAGCCCCCATGCTCCCATGCTCCCATGCCATGCTCCCATGCCATGCTCCCATGCACCCCTCATCACATTCCACATACATGTGAATCTGCAGGGGTGAGCCGCACAATGCCTGACTGTGCTTCCCCTACTCGCCCCGCCCCCGCCCCTGCTGGCTCCCCTTCTCCCCCTGCCCCCGCCGCCCCTCCTCCAGGGATATTCCCTGTCCCCACCCCCGCCCCCGCCCCTGCTCCTCCTGCTCCTCCTCCTCCTCCTTGTCCTGGAGTATCCAGAACAGCAGGAGAGGCGAATGATTGGTTGGGTGTCTGAGAGTACAGGGATTGCTGCTGCGGCTGCCCCTGCTGCTGCTGCTGCTGCGGCTGCTGCTGATCCGGCTGGCCTGCCTGGGAAGGCGCTGCTCCTTCGTACTTCTCCTCAAACCGGCTGCAAGGAATGAGACACAGCAGTGGGACAGATACCCCATGGCGATTTTGAGACAGATATAGAAAACAAAATTGGAAAAAGCAAACAAACAAACGAACAAACAAACGTGCAGCACACAGAGGTTATCCAGAATCCGAGATCCTATCAAGTCGGGTGCATGGGGGAGGACAAAAGTTTCTTGAACAAACAAAAGACGAAGAACAGTACGGAAACGAAAAAAAACAAGAACACCAGGAGCAGCAACAGCAACGAGAAGAGCAACACAGAGCAGGGGAAAACAACAGAAGCACCCACCTGACCAGGTAGACGTCAATAGGCCCACTGGTGCTCTTCAGCAGTATCTGGTACTTGCGCTGAGCAAAGCCCTGACAGGGGCAGCAAGGTGAAAGAAAGGAATGTCACATAATTAATGAAACGCCTCAAATCTCGATGCGTGTGTTTTTTTAGAATTCTCAAAAAACACATAATTAATGAAACGCCTCAAATCTCGATGCGTGCACAGTGCTGTGCAAAGGCCGGATAGGTTGATGGTACTTTTCTCCAGATAGTTTGGGCGACGTCAATTCTCAAAAGTACCATCTGCGTGCACTGTGCAAAGGCCAGATAGTTTGGGGCGGCATGGGAAACACCACCAAGGGACTTAAAGGAACTTAAAGGATGGATAAAATGATATAGGCTTTAAGTTATGCACACTGAGCCGAACAGCTCACAGCTTCAAAAACGGCTCTTGAGAATTCTAAAAAACTTATGACACACTGAGCAGAACAGCTCACCTCTTCTGGATCTGGAACTTCGAGCATGGTGCCGTGCGGGGCTCTGATGGCAATCAGGGTTTCGTTCTGTTCAGAGGGACGTTTGAACACATTTGAGAAACACAAAGATGTCTAAGCTCATAGCACACTGCAGTGGGCAACAAAAAGAAGCAACGAAACGATAAATAAACAAACAAGCACGAATGCCTGAGAAAAAAATAAATATATGAGCAAAGGCCCAAAGACAACCCACCTGAAAGCATGGCAGGTTCTTAATGTCTTCTTCTGTCACAAACATCCATCTGCGAACAAGGACAGCAAGAGGTTAGATGCAAACGGCAGTGGTAGGAGAAACCACGACGCAGTTGAATAGAATTATAAAACGCGTGAGGAGGCGATGTCGTCTTACTGTTTTCTCTTGTCGTCCTCATTCAACAGCCGTAACCGTTCCCGCATGTCCCTGATTTGATGGAAACAACACAAGTGACACAAGGATGATGGGTGTTTGTTATGTTCCAGGTCTGTAGAAGAAGACCCCAGAAAATCAAATGTAGCAGCAGCAGTAGAGATACTCTAGAATGCCCACAACAACAAACTTCAACAAAAGAGAGAGAAAAAAAAATCACAGAACAGCCACGTTACACGTACTTGATTCCATTGTCTAGACTCAACTCCTCCTCCCTTAACCGATTCAACTCCGCCTAAACAAGGGGCGAGAAAAACAGAGGAGGGGAGAAGCATAGGTGAAAAGACAATCAAATACCCCAAGAACAGCAAACTGAACTTTGAGCCCTATTCCTGGGGCCCTATGTCCTGTTCAAGAATAGGGTGTTTTGAAGCGACTCAAAATCCCTATTCCTTCTTGCCCGTGTTTAGGCACAAAGTCAAGTGCTTAGCCCTACTCTGAGTCCTAACCCTCATTTTATGCTTAGCAATAGTCAAATGCTCAGCCATGGTCGGTAAACGAAGCTAACTAAGAGAAGCGGGAGGCTACCTGTAGAATCTGCGAGTCTTCTTTGATGGTGGAATCACACTCCAAGCCTCTGAAAACCCCTAATCCAGTGCCCAACCACAGTCAGCAGCAGAAGCTGAGCCCTAGTCAGTGGGAGGGGGGAATCACAAGCGGCCGGGCCTACCTGTAGGATCTGTGAGTCTTCTTTGATGGTTGAATCACACTCCAAGCCTCTGAAAAGCACCGGAGCATTTTGAAAATGATGACCAATGCATAAGTCGTGAATGCATACAAATGATCGAGTAGATGATGATGCATCAACACACACATACCTGAACTGAACACACACACACATGCACGCATATGTAAATACGCAAATCCATCAGAACACTCCCATCATCCTACTTCCAAACCTCTCACTTCCACGTGAAATGAGTCGTGTTTCGAGTCGACTCAAATCACGACTCCATCAAAACACTCCCATCATACTGCTTCCAAGCCACTCACTTCCACTGAATGTTGTTCTTCCCTTTCTTCTCAATCAACCCAATGCCTTCAAGAACATTCGTAATGTCGTATATCCGCCGCTTCTGGACCTGAGGGGGGAGAAGGAACAGTATAAGAATCAGCGGCACCATAGATCACGAGTTAAACATCAAGTTTCACAACCAGCTGCAATCCAGGGTTGGGACCGCACCGCGCATTGCACATGCAGCAACATATCAGCGAGTACAGGTCGTGTATCCTCCAATAAAGAGGCGTCATCAGAGCTTTGCTTCTGTTTGTTTGCTTGTTTGTTTGTTTGTTTTTTCTGCACCTCTAAAGTGATGCCGTGTACGTATCCTCTGTGCGAATCATGCCTGCTCATGCCTGGATCATGCCATGCGTTGCCGTGCTGTGCCAGCATTTTAAGGGCATGCTTCACATAAGTTCCCAAGCATACCTGGAAGGTTGACGCTGCAGTGTTCAAGTGCAACTGACCCCGTTATTAGGTCAATGAACTTCATGTGAGTCGACTCAAAAGTTGCATGCAAGTTACAACACAGAAGCCACCACGCGTACCTGCAGGGTTGACGCTGCAGTGTTCAGGTCTAGTGTGCCGTCATCTGATCCCTTTATAAGGTCGATAAACTTTTTCGTCAATAGCCCTGCAAGAAATCGAAGGAAATGTGAGAGGAGGGAGGAAGTCGGAAAGGTGGTTGGGAAAGGAAAGAGCAGGGGAAGGGGGGACACCGGGCATGTCAAAGGAGAGAAAGAGTCCAGGGAGGAATAGATACAGAAGCATGATGCGGATGACCATTGTAGTCATGCCGCCTTCAGCATGGGCACTAGATGCAGTGTGACCGGCAAGATTCAGTGTGAGTGGCAAGGCAAGCAACACACCAAGGGAGTTGTCGTAGCGGCATGCTGACTGCTGCTGCGGCTGACCCATGGGTCCTGCTGGTGAGTTGAGCCCCATACCCGCGTCCCCATTCTCCCATGCAGCACCTGCTGCCACAAGGTGATGCAGGAAAAATAACAAATCCCAAGAAAACAAAAAGGCGATTATTTCATCAGCTCAAAAGAGTGACGCACGGGTCCTACGTATCCTAATGTACCCTAAACGTATCCTAAACGTATCCTAAACGTATCCTAAACGTATCCTAAACGTATCCTAAACGTATCCTAAACGTAACGTATACCAAGAGGTGGCCACACCTACCTTTCCCCCGCGCCATCTTGCGACCCCGCGCTGTGAGGGGGTCCTCTCCATTGTTGAAATCCGTTTTGAGAGACCTTAAACGCAACCACACAGTCGAAACATACCTTTCCCCCGCGCCATCTTGCGACCTCGCGCAGTGAGCGGGTCCTCTCCGTTGTTGAACCGCGGCCACGGCTCTCCCGTCGTCTGCACACATGTTAAGAAACCGTAACAATGAGGCAAAACGGAACATCACGCACTGATAACGAGATGTAGAACAAAGATTGGTGCGGAAAACTCAGAGTGGGGACGAGAGAGCAGGAGGGGTGGGCGAGTGGGCGTGACAATGACGAGAGGGTAGCGATGCGAGTGGAGAGTGACAATAACGAGAGCACAGGTGAGGTCAATGTGACCTACCCGACCGGAAAGCACAGTGGGAGCCATCCCGGGCGAGAGGGCATGACATAGCGAGAGCATGGACGAGGCGAGAAGGCGTGACAGCAACAAGACTGCAAGAGAAGCGAATGTGGCGTACCTGGCCGGAGAGCACGGTGGGAGCCATCCCGGGCGCATTCTGCCGTAATGAATGCTCCTAAAACAGCACCCGCAACGCACAAATAAGGGGAGAAAGGGCGGGCTCTGGTGAGCGCACGAATGTGCGCAAATGCAATGCACATGGATGTGCGTGCATGCGCACGAATAAACATGAATGGGAATGGACGCGCCTTAAACGTGTGAATCGGCTGATATGTGGTGCGGGAACCGGAACGGCAAGGGAGAAAACAAGGCTGGGGCGCGCCTGCGCTCGGAAATCGGGGTGTTACACCGGGAGGGTGCGGCTTTCGAGGCGAGAGTGAAAACCACCGCGGGAAACTTTCCTCTCCTTGTCTGCCCTTTTCACTCGCCGCGGAACCTTCTTGATACACCCCGCCCGCCGTCCTTCCAAGCCGACTCAAGGACTCCGGTTGAGTCGATTCAAAACCGTCTTAATCGCCTGAGAAGTCATCCGAAGGACTTACGGAGAATTTCGCGACCAAGTACTCCTCTTCCCCTTGCCTCCCGTACTGGCCCGCCGCGTACCCTCCTCCCTGGTACACCGCGGGGTCCTGAAACTGGTGGTACGCATCGGGCGCCGCAAATGCCGGTCTCATGTGCGTGAACGGAACCTGGTACGGCTGACTCCCGTACGAGTAACCGGACATGCCTGCTCCCGAAATGCCTTGTCCTGACATGACTGGTCCGGACATTCCTGGGCCGGGCATTCCTGGGCCTGACATGCCTGGACCCGAAATGCCTTGTGTTGAGAGACCACCCGCTGTAGAAATGCCTGAAAGTGGAGGTGCTGACATGCCTTGTGCTGCCGACATGCCTTGCGGTGCCCCCATCCCTTGTGGAGCCATGCCTTGAGGTGCCATGCCTTGTGCTGCTGCCATTCCGTGAGCCGACATAGCTTGTGAAGGATAGGGCTGAGCTACGGATCCGTGGTCTATACTCACACCCTTATGGTCCATACTTATTCCCCTATGATCCATACCCATCGCCCTATGGTCCATGACCATACCCTCACCCTGGATGTACGGCCTAGGCGCCATAAATGCAGGGTTACTATTGGGATTAGCCATTGCGAGGAAGGTCTAGGGCAGCATTTGTAGGGCGGAAACTCCCGTCCTTCCGGCGGAATAAACCGGCAAGTTCTAACCTAAAAATGTATCCTGATTTAGCGTGCTGCCATGGACTGGGATCCGACGTTCTGAACGAAGCGGAAAAAATGCGCTCCTCGCGAAGAACCCAGAAACAAGCGCTAAAAACGACGCAAATGGATTCGACGGCTGCTAACACACTATCCGTTCACGTATGTTGCTCAAGCAACAAAATACGGCGCAGCGATCAGAGACACCATGAGCTGTAAAATAAGGAAGTCAGATAATGGAAACCTGAATCGTGCAAAAAGTACAATATAGTTACTTGCTACCCCTGCCACCTAGGTTTTCCCTCCAAGGTGGGGGGGCGTGGAAAGAGAGGGAAAAGGGGGAGGCTAATGTGTGGCGGGGGAGGGAAACCCTGGGAATGGGTGAAATCGCGAGGGAAACTCCCAGGTTCCTCGCGCGCGGGCCTTCGCGAGCTCGCATGCGTTTTCGCTAACCACACGTTACTCACCGTATGCTGTCGCTAATGCGTATTTCTGGCGACAGGATGACGACGACGGTGCTTTCCGTGAATTCTGTGTGGGGAAAGCCTCTTGTCCGACGGCGATCCGGATGCCACGTGGAGAGACGCTTGTGGAAGGTTTTGGTCTGTGTCAGACGTGCTGATTGGCTCGGTCTTTTGAGAGGTCTTGCAAAGGGTCGCGAAGCAGAGCAGTGCCACAGCAACCTGCAGACCATAAACGATTGGCGGTGAATAACATGCCTAACCTGCGTGGTCTGCACCTGGTCCGTCTCCGGTCCGGGCCTGGTCCGTCTCCGGTCCGGGCCTGGTCCGTGGCCGGTCTCTCACTGGTCCGGCGAGGCCCTCCTTCGACCAAAGGCTGTGCGAACCTTGAGCGGCAAGCGCGCCCTAAAGGAGGGGCGGAAGAAGGGAAGCAGCAAAAGTGATCCCGCCAACCGGATTCGAACCAGTGACCTAAGGATTGCTCAACTACAGTCCTCCACTTTATTTACAAAGTTCCTAGGTACATGGGCTCATATATGTACACTATGTACAAGAAGTTCTAGAGCAGTGGAAAAGAAAAGCAAGTGTAAAGATGTGAAGAACAGGTGAGAGATGACAAAGTGATTGAGTGATATGAGAGTATAACGATGTGCAAAAGAGAACAGAACTGGTTACAAAACAGTGGGAAACAGGACACACAGAAGAAAAACAGAACAGAACTTGAAACCACAAAACAGAACAGAACAGAACAGAACAGAACCTACGGTAATGACACAAACGAGTGACTCACAAACTGAAACTGACCCACATGACCCACAAAACCAGCAGTGTAACCCTACAGTAAAGCATCTACAAAGGTTAACCCCCCTTAAATGCGGGGGTTGAGCAAATATGCAAGGTCAGGAGCGCCATCACTGAAAGCAGGAAGATCTGAAAATGATGGGTCTTCGCTTGACATCACCTCCGAGATCGATGGGAAGGCCACCTCTACCCTGTGGCGGATTGCTCTGGCCTACGCCCGTTGCAAAGCCATAGAGACTCGAAGCATGTAGGAACTCTCAAAGGCGGTTGTAAGAACACTGTCTGCTGCACCGTGATCAAGATGCCGTGCTGCTGCCCTGCGACTGCAGTCCCGTAGAAACGCTTTGAAGCTGCTGCCCAAACACCCGAAGGTCTCAAGTGCAAGTGGAAGAAACTTGACTGCTGGCCGTGCGCGTAAAGCTGCTGCGTAGTGGGATCTTTTCTCTGCTTCGCGCTGTTTTGCAGCTAGGCCGACTGTATGAGTAACTGTTAGGGGAGCGGAGGGCAGCTGCGGGTCGGTTACTGACACATCCAATGCCCATTTGATTCCAGCGCAAGGGTCTATGCAAGTGACATCTGGAATTGCCTCCGGCAGCATCGTGCGGTCTTCTACTCTAACCGTGAAGCCTAGCTCCCTCGCAATCCGTGCTACCTCATGTTTCACAGCGTCGTGTACGTGAGTCGGCTCATTAAGGTCAGGACAGCGTAGCGCATGGCTGGGCAGGGTGGGATCAGTGTAGGTAAGACCACAGGAACAGGGTGGGGCCGATTCTAGGAGACGGATGTGAGGAATAGGGAGGCCTAGGCGGATTTCAGTCGCGATTAGCCAGTCTGCCGGTTCGAGTTGGGCACGAGGAGCAGAAGGGACAGCCGTGAGCCAGGCGCCAGCAGATGGGTCCTGAAGGGAAGTTAAACGGACCAGTTGGTGGTGCTGGGTAGCGGCTGAACGTAGCTGCTCTGCTGCGTGTGCTGAAATGCGCTGTGCTAGGGCAGAAATGCTTTAATATTATCCAACACTTCCACAAACAACACAACCTCGTGTCTACGTGCATGTCCGTTCTGCCAGTTGGTGAGGATTCACCCCATTAGTTGTCGACATAGATGGTCGAGTCGCACATTGCCGCATACCCAACCACCGTACCGAGCACGGCGCGACACGGCGCATCGAGCCCTCCTCGACACGATGCCTCGCTCTTTCCCCGACCTTGTTCGTACAAGACCAGATAGCTTCACATCTTTTCTCTCAGAGGTGAATCTGACAAGCAAATATCCTAATCGTTTCCGCAGCCACGACTCGCACATAGTCCCGTACAACCAGACGGAAAGCAGCCTCTCTGTAATAGCAACCCATCAACCCCAGGTGCTCGCCCAGCAGTTAGCTACCCCTCTCTCGTATAACCTGGTAACCCAGTTACGATGGCGAGCATGAAGCAGAAGGCGGGCGACATGATGTCCGCGGCGAAGGAGAAGATGTCCGAGGTCAGCGCGAAAACCGGCGAAGCCGTCGCGAAGGGCAAGGCGGAGGTGCAGGAGAGCATGGACAAGGCGCGCCATCCGACTAGCAAGGAGGCGCGCGCGATTGCGGACGCGAAGGAGGCGCAGCGGAAGGAGCACGCGGAGCTGGAGAAGGAGCGGAAGATCGCGGGCGCGATGGAGAGGGAAGCTGCGGAGAAGGAGGCGCGACACGAGAAGCACGGCGTGATAGGCGCTGGCACTGGTACTGGTCACGAATATGGCACTGGTGCTGGTGGTGCTGGGACTGGGCATGGCACTGGTGGGGGGTATGGAACGACGACTGGGACTGGGCATGGGACGGAGAGTAGCGGGGGAGATTATGGCACCAGGGCGGAGCATGGGTATGGCATCACCGGGATGACTGGGCATGGTGCTGGTGTCATTAATAGCCCCGGCCGTGGCACTTCCGAGCACGGAACCACAGGACATACCACTGGTCATCATGGCACCACTGGTGCCGCGCAGGTGGGGCACAGCACAGAGGGCACCGGACTTGGCGGCACTGATACCACTGGTGGAACCACAGGGCGCAGGCACGTGTTTCAGTGAGACTCTACTGGCATGGATACCAGAGGTGGTGGTGGTACCATGGACGGACTGGAGTTAGCTGTTGCAGTGAAGGAGAGAGGTATCGTAGTGCACTTTTGTATATTGTGTAAATAGGTCTGATAGTGTGTAGATGTTGTGTATGAGTGTAGCAGCTGCAGCAGTAATTTTTGTGCCGTATTCTTGTCAGAATGTTTTGAGCTAAAATCCTTTCCATGCTGCCAGCCTTGTCCTGCCCCGGATGCTACAGTACACTGTAACTTGAGTGGAATTCACCACACTTGAGCTTCCATGTCAGTATCATTGAAATTAAAGAGGGTTGTTCCGTGTTCTTGTAAACTGAATCAACAGCCAGTCACTTGAATACTACATCTGAGCGTAACACATATTTGATTCCAGCCTTCACTTCCCTGGCTTCATGAAGCAAGCACCTGGCCCCATGCCGGTGTAGCAATCTTAAGATAGGCTAGGAGACAAGTGTCGAGAGTAAATGTTTGAGTAAGGAGGGACAAGGAGATACAAATGTCGACCTAAAGTGTTGTACCCTTTAGAGGGCAACTCACAGTAGCCTATCTAACAATATATAGAATATATAAACATTTGACACACCCCCATAGGCTAAGTGAGGGGCATCAAAACAACCAACGGAAACAAGGGGTCACAAGACCAGTCAAGAACAAGCATAAAAAACAAAGCTCAGGGTGGCGCTCAGAGTCACCACACACTCCGAGCACAAGCAAGTGGCCACAAGGCCAGTTCAAGAGTTTACTAGTATATATAGAAGCACAACAAGTAGAGCAAACAGCAAGTCTACAGCAACCGAGGGCCTACCTCAACAAGCCCCAACTGCACACAGAACCTGTGGTGGTCACCAGGCGCCAAGGCCTTGGTGAAGACGTCGGCAGTGTTGGCCTGTGAGGCCACAAAGTTCAAACGTGCCTGACCGCGTCGCTGCAACTCTCGCAGGAGGAAGTACCTCACGTCAATATGCTTCACTCTGCTCTCCAGTCGAGGCTCTCGACACAGGAGGATCATGGCCTTGTTGTCAGCGTACAAGGTCGGTGCAGAGCGAGGCCGCTCACCAAGGTCGGCGAGCAAGAAGGTCAATCAGCGAAGCTCCTGTGCCGCCATGGCACCAGCGTAGATCTCTGCCTCTGCACTGGAAGTAGCCACAGACGACGACCGTGTAGACCTCCACGACACAGCACCAGCTCCCAGACTGAAGCAGTAACCCTGAGTCGAACGCTGAGTCTCCACGTCGTCAGCGTAGGAAGAGTCACAGTTACCAGTCAACGCCACTGGCTGAGTCCCTCCAAGCACAAGCCCCATGCCTGATGTAGTCGCCAGGTACTTCGCCACCCTCACAGCAGCTGTCCAGTGGACAGGGCGGTGTCTCCCAGTCGCAACAAAGCGAGAAAGGATGCTGAGTGGAAAGGCGAGGTCCGGTCGAGTACAAGTCATCAGGTACATGAGGCAGCCCACCAGCTCTGCGTAGGGTCCACTGGACTCAAAGGGCTCGTCAGGAAAGGGGCCCGTGAGTCTGTGGTCAACAGCAAGAGGAGTGGGCTGTGTGGTGGAGAACTGGAAGTCGAACCGCCGAAGGATCTGCTGCACCATGTGTGACTGCGTCAGTGTGATGGTGCGAGCGGCTCTGTCCCGGGTGATCTGCAGGCCAAGGTAGCGCTGCAGCTCACCCAGGTCAGTGCACTTGTGTCTCTTCTGCAGTTCGGACTTCACCTGAGCCAGGGCTGCCCTGTCTGCTGTAGCAAACACCAAGTCGTCGACATAGACAAGGATAAAGAAAGGAGTAGAACCCGCTCGAACAAACAGCGACGGGTCGGCGGAGGACGGGCTGAACCCAAGGTCACGAAGCGTGGAGCGAAGAGTGTCGTGCCACTCACGGGGCGACTGGCGGAGACCGTAGACTGGTCGCCTCAGGCTCCACTGGGTCCCAGGTGGGAAGGTGTCAGTGAAGCCAGGAGGACGGCGCAGCCAGATCTCCTCGTGTAGTCGGCCCTGGAGGAACGCAGTGGAGAAGTCGAGGGAGTGCAGCTCGTAGTCTCGCTGCGCTGCTATGTGGAGTAACACCCGAAGAGTAGTCATCTTCGGGGTCGGGGCGAAGGTCTGGAAGAAGTCAACTCCCTCACGCTGACTGAAGCCCCTAGCCACGTAGCGCGCCTTGAACACCGGCGGTGCTCCAGGCGGCCGCTTCACCTTGAAGAGCCACATGCCATCGACTACGTTCGCCCTGGGAGGGGGAACTGCGTCGACGTAGGTGCCTGTGGATCTCCAAGACGCCAACTCTGAGTCCATAGCCGCTTTCCACTGAGAGGCCCACGCCCCTGACACTGCCTCGCGGTAAGTGCGAGGAGTCGGTATGTCAAGGGCGTCGGGGTCTCCCTCAGGGGAGAGCAGCATGGCACACACAGAGGGAGAAGCGGCTGCCCAGTACTCCAGCTCAGACTCTCTGTCCTCTAGGACGTCACAGCCAAGGGCAAACCCACCCCCGACGGACAGAGGACGGTAGGGAGGAGCTGGCACCACACGGGTGGCGTAGTCAAGGTGGCTGGCGGCAGCGAGGAGAGACCTAGCTAACAACGAACGTCAGGACTAGCCTAAACAGCTAAGCGGAGCGGCCTCCAGCCGCGACGGTGCGAAACACTGTGAGTATGAGTGACGCGAGTGTCGAACCAACGGAGGTCGGGTGGTCCTGGGTGGTGTGCGCGCGTGATAAGGGGATGTGAGCGTTTGGAAGGGGCTCTGAGCGGTTGGAAGGGGCTGTGAGCGGTTGGAAGGGGCTGTGAGCGGTTGGAACGGGCTGTGAGCGGTTGGAAGGGGCTGTGAGCGGTTGGAAGGGGCTGTGAGCGGTTGAAAGGGGCTGTGGGCGGGTGGGAGGGGCTAGCTGGCGCCAGCTGCTGGCGGCTAGGTTCCGGTGGCTAGCTGCTGCTGGCGGCTAGCTTCTGCCTAGCCGTGCTGCTGCTGCAGGAGCACGCGCTGCTGCCTAGCCGTGCTGCTGCTGCAATGCACACGTTGCTGCCTAGCCGTGCTGCTGCTGCAATGCACGCGCTGCTGCCTAGCCGTGCTGCTGCTGCAATGCACGCGCTGCTGCCTAGCCGTGCTGCTGCAGCAAAGCACGCGCTGCTGCTGCAATGCGCGTGCTGCAGTGGCGTGCGCGGCTGCCGCTGGCTAACGCGCGCGCTGCTGCGGGCTAAGAACGACTACGCGGGCCCGCGGGGGGGGGGGGGGGGAGAGTCCCTTCTGGAGCGCGACGAAACGAGGGGCCAGTGGGGCCCTGTAAACGCGACGAAAAACGAGGCCCGCGGGGGCCCTTAAACGCGACGAAAACGAGGCCAGCGGGGGCCCTTAAACGCGACGAAAACGAGGCCCGCGGGGGCCGTCCTACCCGCGACGAAACGGGGCCTAAGGGACGGGCGCCTCGGGACCGGCTAAGGGAGGGAGCGGAAGCGTGGGAGGGAGTAAAACACCTACTCTAATACCATCTTAAGATAGGCTAGGAGACAAGTGTCGAGAGTAAATGTTTGAGTAAGGAGGGACAAGGAGATACAAATGTCGACCTAAAGTGTTGTACCCTTTAGAGGGCAACTCACAGTAGCCTATCTAACAATATATAGAATATATAAACATTTGACAAGCAACGCCATTCCAACCTCCGGACTCACCTGTGGTAAAAACGTTAAGGGAGAGGGGGGAATAGAGGGAGATGACTTGATCTCTGCATTCACCTCCCGGGGCTCATGGTAGCAAGCACCTAGCCTCATGCCGGTGCAACAACGCCATCCCCACCTCTGATGACCTGCCCTCATGACGTGCCCTCATGACGTGCCCTCATGACGTGCCTTCATGGCGTGCCCTCATGACGTGCCTTCATGGCGTGCCCTCATGATGTGCCCTCATGACGTGCCCTCATGACGTGCCCTCATGATCTGCCCTCATGACCTGCCGTCATGGCGTGCCCTCATGGCGTGCCCTCATGACGTGCCCTCATGACCTGCCCTCATGACGTGCCCTCATAACGTTCCCTCATGATGTGCCCTCATGACCTGCCTTCATGACGTGCCCTCATGCAGTAAGCGCCTGGCCCTGCTGTGCTGCTGCATCAACACAATTCCCACTTGCTTTTTTGTAGGAATGGGAGAAGGAGGAACGAGGGGAAGGGCAGAACAAAAAGGTGTTCCCAACAAACATCTAGTATTAATATATATATTAGTAATATCAATATCTACATACATGTATATATATACACACACAACACAATCTCACCTCAAAGCTCTCCTGTGACCGTGCTCCCACATAGAATACCGTCTCTCCTCCCACCAATTGTTCCTGATGCTGGTGTTGCTGCTTCCCGACTCCACCCTTCCCTCTACCTCCTGCTGCTTCCTTCTCTCTCCTCCGCCGCCCCTCCCCTCCATCTCCCTCCCTCACTCCCTCCCCAGCCGTCCCCTCTCCGTCCCTCTCACCACTTTCCTCTCCGTCTCCCTCCGCCCCAACCTCACCTTCCCCCACCTCCTCCCCTCCCTCCCCATACCCCTCTCCCTCCTCCTCCCCCCGCCCCTCCCAAGTGGAAGGAGCACCAGAGAGGTAAACCAAGAGTGTATACTCCGTCCTTCCCCCCCCTGCTACAGTCACGCTCTCGTCTATGTGCGCCCCGAACTGCTGGCCCCGGCTGTAGCGGTACACACGCATGTTGGGGTTCAGACGCACTGCCTTGCGGTTACCAGCTTGCAGCGGCTGTAGCACCGGGGCGAGTCGGTCCCACAGGTGTGCTGCCCGTTCAAAGGAAAAACAGAAAGGAAAAGCACAAAAAGGAAAGAGAACTTAGCGGTTAAGAAAAGGGTGACGCGTAGTTGCGTGCCGGGTTACCAGCTTGTGAGGGGTATTTAGCCTGGAAAAATCGGGGGGGAAACAAGGGCTGCTTCAGTCACTCACCCTACCACTCTCCTCCTTTCTCCCGCCCTGACTCACCCGCCAGCTCGTAATCTTCAACGGATATCCGGTGGTTGTCTCTGAACGCCTCGCCCTTGGGGCTTCCCTTATGACTCGCACATACATTACCACTCTCCCCCCTTCTGCCTGCTCCCTGACTTCTTCCTACCCGCCTCTTCCTCTTGCATGACTCACCAGCCAGCTCGTTATCTTCAACGGATATCCGGTGGTTGTCTCGATACGCCTCGCCCTTAGCCGGACCACCGCTGCCCTGCCACTTGAAGCCAATGCGCTCTCCTTGCGCAATGAACTCCGCGCATTCCTCTGGGGAGAGCGCTCCTGGTACCTGGCGGTGGGGAAGGGGAAGGGGAAAAGGGGGGAAAAGGGGAAGAAAGAGGGGGAGGGAGAGGGGAGGGGGGGGAGGGGGGGAAGGGGGTAGGAATGAAGGGGGGTTCTGAAGTAGCAGAAAATATGAAGGCGTTTGTGAACAAGAAAGTTTGGAGATCTTAGTATTCCGGATTTTGAGTCGTTTAAATATTCACGAGCGTCGGAGTGACCTCACAGTGAACACTTCGCAGCCACGGATTAGTTGCAGCGTCAGGTCGCGGTGCCGTCTCAGTTTCGGCCAGGAAATGCGTGTGGCGGGTACGATAGGCGGCGCGCCTCCGGAATACTCCTGCTGCTGCTTTTTTCCTTTCTTAGCCATTTTCCGACGCCGATATTGCCAGAATTTACGGCGGAGAACGAGGAGAATGTGGAATGATGGACGCATTGGTGTGAAAGGCGAGGGAGGGTGAACGTAAGTTGATTTGTCTCTCGATTTAGTGTGATGCGTTTTGCGTTTATGATTGTTGGAAAATGGGGCTGACAATGTGGTTTGATCGAGTGTTTTCTTCCAGCCAATAGCGAAAGCGTTCGGGCGGCGAATGTCCAGGTTTTTTCCCGCCAACTTCATTTTGAGACGTGGGGCGGTGATTCGTCAGGAAGCGCTCCGCTGACAAACTCAAATCCCAAGGACCGCTACCTGGCGGCTACAGTAGATTGTGCTCTGTCTGTACAGTTTGTTTTCGCGATACTATTGACGAATCCGAGCTTTCGTTTGAAGCGGATACCGTCACCTCTAACGACAGCTTCATCCACAGGTCACGCCACGTGGTCGATCCGAATTACCCTATCCATCCATCCATTTCGCCATCCGTCTCTCGCCTACTGCAGTGGTTGACAATCCCAAGGTTTGCGACTTTCCGTCTCTTGGGTTCTCTCAGGTTAGTAAGGGATCTAGTCTATTCTCACATACGCCTGTTATGCTTACACTAAACCAGGCGTTCCGTGTTCACAGATTCGTCATCCAGAAGTCAGGACTAAGGTGTTCGTAGTTCCTTCTTTCCAGTTTACTATTTGACTTAGCCCGTCGCGCAACCTTGAGCGCTCTCATCCGACTTTAGTAATCTTCCTCGTCTGTTGTATCCGACATTCACAACTTAAGGTTTGCATTCTGTGGGCTAGTCTGATTCCATCCTTCATCCTTTTCCAGTGTTCCTTAGCCAGGTTTACATATCTTGGTTTCTTCTTCTTCTTCTCAACATGGGCTCATCTAGTGACCATAACCATCCAGAGGATCATTCTCTGTCATTTCTCGCCGAATCCACCGATTTAGCTGAAACGATGAGTGGTCCAACTAGAGCAGTGGGAGATTCATCCAGTAAACCTGACGGTGAAATTTCCAGGAATCTTACAAAAGCCGGTGAATCTTCCTCGGCTCCCCTCTCCGCTGAACTTTCGGAAGTATCAGGCGACGTCGGGAATGAGCTGAACGAGACGGTTGTCAGTCAAGCAGACGGCGATGTAGACGGTCAGTCAGGAAGCGAAGACGGAAGTCGTCGTCGAACGCCGTTCACGGAGAATAGCCAGTTGGAGGCCGACTTGGCTCTCGCTCGTGCGATTCAGGAACAGGTATGCTTCGCATTGACCTGCGGAGGACAGTTAGGCTTCATCTGAGGAGGACCGTAGGCTTTGCATTGATCCCAAGAGGACCGGTAGACTCTGCGCTGATCAAACGAGGAAACCTGTTCAGTGACTAATTATTCAGTCTGTCGTAATGCGATTCAGGATTCGGCTGCACAGATGAAAAAGAGGACAAGCTTGTTCTTACGAATCTGTTTATGTCGTGATTCTCCAATCGCTGATTTCATCCTCCGTTTTTTTCTTTTCCTGTTCACAGGAGTGTGCATTCATGATGCTTTACCACCAGCAAGCATTAGCAGCAGCGTCAGCATCAGCCTCGGGTTCTCGCTCTGGCTCTAGAGGCAGCTCTAGACGGCTTCAAGGCCGTCAAGACCGTGAAGTCCGTCAGACAGGCTCGTCGGTAGATAATCCCATTGTGCTGCTGAGTGAGGGAGAGGAGCTCGAGGCAAACGATCCCGATGCCGAGGAGGAATTCGCAGATGCGGATGACGATGAGTACGGCGAATGGGAGGAAGCTAGCGAAGACGATGGCGAAACAGGCGAAGATGGCGAAATGGGCGAGGTCGGTGAACGAGGAAGCGAAGCTGCGGACGAGCCAGGCCGCGAGTCACGTGGACAAGTCAGAAGTGCGTCGCTGCAGCGGCAGCTGTTCCAGAACGGCGGGAGCGAAGTGGACCAGCTAGGACTCGAACCCGAGACCGCTGCGAACATGTCGGGAGTCCTCAGGGACGGGAGAGGTGATGGCGCCGAAGGAGCTGGGGAAGGAGCGGAAGGGATTGCAGCTGGGGGGGTTGCTGAGGGTGGGGAAGCAGGGGAGGCAGGGCAGGGAGGGGAGGGAGCGTACGAGGATGACGAGGCGTTTGCTCGTGCGTTGCAGGAGGAAGAAGAGCGCGAGATGGCTCGCAGGCTGTTCGCCATGGCTGGGCTGCAACTGAGCGACGGTCGAGGTGCGTCACTGTTGAGGTGACTTGTGAGCCGAGGTGCGCCAGAGTGGGAGTGACTTGTGAGTCGACTCAAAAGTCACCTCGGAAGAGCATAAGACAGCGCGCAGGCTATTCGCCATGGCTGGGCTGCAACTGAGCGACGGTCGAGGTGCGTCACAGTCGCCAACGGTGGCTGCCAGCCGTTGATTGCTTGCCTCGATGCTGGAATACGTCTAACATTGCATCAATCCCTCGCCAGGCTGGGTTTACTGCAGAATCCCATCTGATACTGATGGTCCTTTGTCCCCAACTTGTCGTTATGTTTTTCTCCTCCTTTTTTGCTTCTCAGGGTCGAGCTCGAGGAGGAGAGCGGAGATGCTGGCAGCAGCGCATGGCGTCGCGTGGCCTTTCGGCGAGGGAGGGGTGAGTTGACTAAGAGTCATGTGAGTGACCGTTTGGCTTGAGACTGATTGTAGAGAAGATGGCAGCAGCTCACGGCAATGCTTGGCCTTTTGGCGGTGGAATTTTGAGTTAGCTGCCTGGACTCAAAGCTTGCTTGTTGGTCGGTTTCTTTGAAAATTGTTACGAATTAGAATGCGAGGTGACTTGGAAGTCGAAAAGAAGAGTGACTTACAATAACAGGGGGATGGTAGAATGTGGGAGGAAGGTGGGGTTTGTTGAGACAATGGTGGGCTGACAGTAAGGTCATTTTCCATAAGAGGGGGATGGGGAAGTCGGTGATTCGCGTCAGAAAGCAAGCATGGTGGGGGAGGGGAGGATGCGCTCATGCGGGTGCAAGCAGGCATTCAACCTCTTTGTTTCTGGCAGCGAAAGCTGTTTGCTATGTCTGTTCCTTTACCCTGTCTGATCAATCGCACTTGTGTCATGGGCGTTTGCTGGGCTTGCAGGGTGATGAGGAGTCGGAGGAGGAGGATTCAGAGGAGGAGGATGGGGAGGATGAGGATGCACTGGATGTGGACGAGATGACGTATGAGGTGAGAGTTCCAGTTTCTAGTTGACTCAACAAATAGAATACGGAGGAGGAGGAGGATGGGGAGGACGAGGATGCACTGGATGTGGACGAGATGATGTACGAGGTGAGAGTGCTTTGATCTTATTCCTTTCCACTTTTCAAAAGCATGGTAGGTCCGTCTGACACATGGCATGGCATGGCATTTTATTGCATGGCATGGTATGCCGTGGTATGGTATGGTATGTTGTGAGATTTATAATGCGAGGAAGCAAGGAGGTGAGATGTGTGAGGTGTGTCTTGAGGCACTGCAAGACATGCCTGGTGTCCAATTTCGGAAAGAGGTGCAGTGCGCTCACCCTCTCAATTTCTTCGTCAGAGGTGTGAGGTGCTTAGGGTGGGTCGAGAACAAGGATAACTTCTGCAGCCTGACCTGACTCGTCACTCTTTTCTATTCCGTGTGTGCTCTGCAGGAACTGACTGCTCTGGGAGAGGTGATTGGAACAGAGAGCAAGGGGCTGGCACAAGCAACCATTAGTGCACTGCCGCGTGTCGCATACAGCACCAAGAGTCCGCTTAGGCGAGGCGAGGACATGTAAGGCACCTAGCGAATATCGGGGGTACCAGTTCTGTGCATTGATGCAACGCCAAAGCTCATCTCTGTGCCTCATTTCTTACTGACACCAAGCATATTTTCAGCACGCATTTTTCGTCCGCTGTGTCCCACCCCTCACTCACTCTCTTCCCTTGTCGTTTTTTTTTTTTTTTTTTTTTTTCTCTCTCGTGCAACGTTTTCGTCTTGTCTCACTCCCGCTTCATACCCTCCTGTGCTATTCGATTCTCTTGTGGGATCTGTCTCTCAGGTGCGCCATTTGCCAGCTGGAGTATGAGGAAGGGGAGGAGTTGTTGTTACTGCCACCGTGCCACCATTCATACCACGAGGCCTGTGTCCTGCAATGGCTGGGACGGAACAAGGTGAGGCCTGAACTCTGAGTCCTTTCAGAAACAATGGCTGGGACACAACAAGGTGAGCCTTGAACTTTGAGGTGACTTTAACACACATGGTTGGGTCAGAATAAGGTAAGTTCCCCTGCTTGTCGGTTATGTTGGGGCGCCTTAGGGTTTTTCTTTTACCCAGTGGAATTGGTTACTTATTGAGCACTTGTTTTCTTCCTCCGTTGGCTGCTCCACTAATGGGTGTTGGGCTGTCATATGCGCCTGTGATGTGAATGATCAAGGACTATCACATGCTCTGCCCATCTTTCTTTGTGTGTCTGGATGACAGGTCTGTCCTGTCTGCAAGGAGGAGGTGCAACAGCCATCAAGTTGATTAAGCAAGCAAGCCTGTGATCGACGGCATTTTTTTGGTTTCTTAGCTTACCTCGAAAGTTAACTGACAGTAGACTTCAAGACTTTTGAGCAAACAAATAGCTAAGGTTGTTTACACATTCTGCTACTTGTATAATCAATATTCGCGCATCATATTTCTCCAATTAGCCTGTATCGAGTACCACTGTGACGGTTGTGGATGAAATACCTCTGTCGAGAATGGACTCGCTATAGTCGTGCACTACGTTCCCGTTCCACTTCGCTGGTGTGGCTGCTCCATTCATTCCCAAACTTCTCCATCTGCATTTACTTTTGATGGAAAATCGCTCTATTCCTTGTGTTGATTTATCTGGTCTTCTAGAGGAAGCGGAGACAAGGCGTGCGCATTTCACTCGTGCTTCGTAACTAGGACAAGCACGTTCGCCTTGCCGACCGCGTTTCAAGACCCTGCCCCGCCGTTTGCGTCGCCATAGTGCACCCGTCGTCGCAAGCTAGAATTTTGGATCCTCCGAAGGTTTCGGGTTTAGCGAGGCACTGTGAACCGCTGGCCCCACGCAGGCAAAAAGGGAGCGCAGAGGCGGGATCGAGGGCATTCAGTTTTGCGATTCTCTGGGCGACTCGGAAACCGTAGGCAGCCTTCGAGAGAATACTTTATCACCACTAATTTTGGACAGCGGTGGGGCTCCGGAAACGGCAGACAGCGCACAGCAGGCGCGCAGTAGACGCGTCGAGAGCAGTCGACGAGCGAAAAACGCGGATTAGGATTGTCGGGAGCCGCAGACAGCGGCCAGGCAGGCAGAGGCGGATCACGCGGCGGCCATGCAGCATGATGACGTCATCTGGGGCCTTGTCGGGAAAGGTCCCTGCAGTTACCGAGTCAAGTGCGTTCCTTCGCCTTTCCTTCCGATCCGTTTCTATAGTGTTACCATTTTCTGCGTAAAATCGTTACTTTTTCGTAATTTCTTTGGCAGGCAACGCCGAGATGTTCGCTCAAGGGTTTCTCGGGGTTCAGGGTGTAATAGCGTTTTTGGGAATCTTAACAGATATTGCTGGTTCTTTCAGTCAGCGACAACCCTTCTTTCTGCCGCCTAACCGTTCGCGTGCTGCCAACCCTTTTGGGTGCCGCCCAAACCCTCTGTTCACCACCCGACCGTTGTGCATCTCACCCGCCCAACCCTTCTGTACCCCGCCCAACCGTTCTGTTGACGACGTATGTCAACCTCTGTCTGCCACGTGTCAACCTATGCAGGCAGCAAACGGACACATTCTGCAGACACCCGTTCAACTTAAACGCCATCTGCAAACGTGGCGTGTGCCCTTTGGCCAACAGCCGCTACGCTACAGTGCGCGAACACGACGGTAATGCGTTGATCCAACCCCCTCAGTACCCTCCCCCCCGCTTACGTCTCTTCCCACGGCTCCTTCCCTCTTCGTCTTCCCCACACATCCCCCCTCTCCCCTCATTTCAAAGATTATGAACATAGTTCATCTTCTCACATCTGTTGCAACCACAAGCGTGCAGGCGAGCTGTTTCTCTACATGAAGACCATTGAGCGAGGGCACATGCCAAACAAGCCCTGTTGAATTCTGAGTTGTCTCATGTTTACCCCTTTTAATCACCATCGTTCTGTCTCTTTTCGCAACCACCCACTCACAGGCGAGCTGTTTCTCTACATGAAGACCATCGAACGAGCACACATGCCCAACAAGCTCTGGGAGCGTGTGAAGCTTCCGAGAAACTACACCAAGGCACTGGAAGCAGTGGACAAGTTTCTGGTGAGTTGCTGGTGAGTGAGTGAGTGAGTGAGAGAGTGAGTGAGTGAGAGAGTTAGTGAGTGAGTGAGTGAGAGAGTGAGTGAGTGAGTGAGTGAGTGAGTGAGTGAGTGAGGGAGTGAGTTGAAGAAGTCACGTGAGTGCATGAAAGGATTTTGACATTTTGTAGACTCACCTGTTCTGGTGCAATTTGTAGACTTTTCACAAGGTGCAGCCGCCAATGGATGTTATTAGTGGCTCAAAGATCGGCCACTCAAAAGGTGTAGTGTCCCTTTGTTTACCTGCCCTTCCCCCCATCCTCCTTCCTTCCTCTCTCCTTCCTTTCCCTGCTTCTCCTCATCCTTCCAGCAATGGTGGCCGCCTCGCATGGTCTCTCTTGTGAAGCTTCGTTTGACTCGGTTGACGCAGTACCTCATTCGCATGCGACGACTGGCCGTCAAGATACAGTGAGTGGATGAGTAGGTGTACCTTATCCATATGTTGTTATCCAGCGTTTGACTTGCTTGACTCGGTTGACTCAGTACCTCATCCGCATGCGCCGACTGGCCGTCAAGATACAGGGAGTGGAAGAATTATCAAATATACATTTTCTAGCACATGAAAATGCATATGTGTATGAATCTTTGGGCCCGTTTGACTTAGTTCCTCATCCACATTGCGCTCCCTGCCCGCACTTTCTTTTGAAGCCCGCCCGCACATGAATCTTCCCACCCGCACCCTATTTTGAGGCCCGCTGCACTTAGCTTGTAACGATGCTAATGGAACTGAGAAGTTGGTTCAACAGACTTCTCAAGAGCATTTCCCTTCCCGCCTTTTGAGACGTCTCAAAAGTTCTCAAGAGCATTTCCCTTCCTGCCCGCACCTTCTGATCAGGCTTAAGCTCGTAACGATGCCGATAAAAATGAGGAAGAGGGAGGCCAAGGCAGAAATGGCAGCCAAGACTTCAGAGACGTCTCATATTTTCGCGAGTCCAATTTCGCAAGTGAAATTCCCCTTCCCGCTCGACCCGTCTTATCAGGCCCAAGCTCGTGACAATGCCGACAAAAATGAGGAAGAGGGATGAGAAGAGGGAGGCCAAGGCAGAAACCGCAGCCAAGATTGACAGAGTGAGTTGAGGGGGGGTTGATTGTGCTAGAGCACAACTTGCTTTTTTGTGTGTGTGTGTGTGTGTGTGTGTGTTTGAGTCAAGTGTGTGTGTGTGTTTGAGTCAAGTGTGTGTGCTGGTGTGAATGTGTGTGTCAACTTGAGTAAAAGAGGGAGAGGTTTACTTTCTGTTTGAATAATGCACTTATTGTAGTCGTAATCTCAACTTATACGTGTACATGTGCATGCACGTATTACAAATGTATGTATGCTATGCATAGACACATACATATATGCATATAAATAAATACCTGTAATGTAATAGTATTTAATTTTCGCATTTCCTTAAACTTTCCAGGCCATTGAGAAGGAGCTCCTACAGCGGCTACAGAGCGGAACGTACGGCGAGCTTTATAACTTCCCGCTGAAGCAGTTCCAAAAGAGGATAGAGGAGGAGGAGAAGGAGGAGCAGGAGGACGGTCCAGTCAAGAAGAGAGTGAAGGTGGTTGGAGGGGAGGAGGGTGTGGAGGATAGAAAAATGGAAGAAGAGGAAGAGGAGGAGGAGGAGGAGGAGGAAGAGGAGGAAGAGGAGGATTATGAGCCTCAGGTGGAATTTGTTGAGGGGTATGATTTAGAGGAGGAGGAGGATGAGGAGGAGATTGAAGATATGGGGGATCGACTGGCGTTGCCTGGGCGTGGGAGGAGGGGAGAGGAGGATTATGGTGAGGAGGATGAGGAAGAAGAGGAGGAGGAGGAAGAGGAGGAGGAGGAGGAGGAGGAGGAGGAGGAGGAGGAGGAGGAGGAGGAGGAGGAGGAGGAGGAGGAGGAGGAGGAAGAGGATGAAGAGGAAGAGGATGAGGAGGAGGAGGAGGAGGATGAGGAGGCGGAGGAGGAAGCAGAGTTGGAGTTTGAGAGGAGTGTGCAGGCGAGATGGGGGAAGCAGCAGGCGGCAGCAGGAAATGGGGCAGCGGCAAGGGCAGGGGCAAGGAAGGGTGGTGCTGCTGATGCTGGTGCTAGAGGGAAGGGGGCTGCAGCAGGCAAAGCCGGAAGGAGAAGACACATCGAGGTGAGAGAGGGTAGACAAGCAGCTGATGTGTGAAGTAGCAAGCAAGGCTGGTTGCTTGAGCCTTGAGAGAGGGAAAAGCATTTGTGACCGATTTCGCTCCGGTTTGTCTGCGTGTGATGAGTCGGTTTTTGAGTCGAGTCAAAAACCGACTCATTTCGCTCCTGTTTGTGAAACATTTCTCCTCTCTCCTTTTCTTCCTCTGCTCTGCCTTCCCCTCCCCTCCTCTACTATCCCGTCGCCCCCTGCCCTCCCTTCCTCTTCCCCCTACTCTTCTTCCATCTTTTTCCAGCCGTTCTCATTCCCTGTGCCCTTTCCTCCATTCTCCACTCTTTTTCCTCTCCCGCCCCCCCGCCCCCACTCTTTCCTCAATTCTCCTCTTGTTCCTCCAGCTGGAATATGAGGAGCGGGAGCAGGCACATGCTCCTTATCACTCTTGTTTTCCCTTCTAACTACCTTTCTCATGCACTGTGCTCTTTCCTTCATTCTCCACTCACTCTGATTTCCCTGCCCCTACCCTTTCCTCAATTCTCCTCTTGTTTCTCCAGCTGGAGTATGAGGAGGAGCGGGAACAGGCACGTGCATATGACTTCTGAGTCGACTAAAAAAACGTGTTTTGAGACGTCTCCAAACACACTAAAAAAACCATGAGTGGGAAGGAACAGGCGCACGCATACTTCTTGTGCATTGTCGTTTCGTACAACGCGTGCGTTCACCTTTTTTTCGAGAAAAGAAGAAAAAGAATCAGAGAGAAGAATATGGTACGGTGTTGTCCCTGCAACATAAACAGCTCAACACAACATACTGTACGTGCTCGCAGCAATCGGTAGGGAACTATTCATGCATATTTTCCCCTCTTACGGTGGTATCTACAGTAGCATTTGACCATTGAACATAATAATGATGAGAAGAATTTGTCTCTCCTTTACACCCTTATGTTGTTCAATTCTTGGTTAATATTACACTGCAGTATAGAGGGTGATGTGCATTAATACCTATATCCAAAGTTTGCTCATTCAGCAACACACTGGCAGTCGCAATTTTATTTTAACACTTTGGTGAACTCTAATGCAATCCCTATGCAGAGGCAGAATAATTCTAATGTCTACACCTTGTCACGTGTGATCGATTCTAATATCCAAGCTCTGGTCGTTCAGCAACACATTGGCAGCGATCCGTTTGTCCACTTTGATTTTCCGCCGCTCCTCGTACTCAGCGTACCCCTCCATCTGCTCAAACTGCTCCAGTGTAACTGCGTTGCCCCGTAGGGTAACCGTGTGTAGCCGCTGGCACTTAACTAAAAGCTGTGTGGATGGAGGGAAGGCATGTTGCAGGTTGATAAGCGGAGGGGGTGGGAGGAGAGTGGAAGGAGACAGACTTAATATTATCGCAACATCAGAGTGATTTTTCGTGTTGTTGGAAAGTGCGTGTGAACACGCATGAGAGAGAACGACAGTGAATAAGATCAAGTGAGGAAGCGGAAACAAGCAAGGGAACGAGTGGTTTGGAGGAGGGGACAAGGGTGGGAGCGTGAGGGGTAGGGAGGGGAAGGAGGAGGTATATACAAGGGGTTAACATACGTCAGTGAGTCGGTTATTATCAAGGGCGAGAGTGCGAAGGTCGGATAGTTGTACCACCGAAGGGGGTAGACCTGCAATACGGTTGTCTGGGCACGGACGGAGGGCGAATGAGGGTGAAGTAGGGTGAATCAACATAGAAATAAGGGCATACTTTCAGATGGGCTGGCTCAAATGGATATACGTTTTCACACGGTGCTTTGAATCAACCACACGGTGATGTGCTGTTATCAGCACCTCGTACTGTACTGATGTACACTGTATCACGGTACATAGTGAGAATCTGCTGAAGTGATGTACGTCCTAATGAAGTACCTCAAAATGGGGTGCCTTGAAACGAGGTACCTTGTAGCGAGATTTCTTGAAGGCTGGAGCAGCTACCGATGGTTGGTGGGAGGCTGGAGAGGCAGTTGGAAGAAACGTCAAGAGTGACCAACTGGCATGGAGGGAAGGTATGGGTGAGAGGGGCGACGGGAAGGATTTTGAGGTGCCTCAAAACTTGAAGGGGAAAGCCGGTACCAGTGGTGGGTGGGAGGCTGGAGAGACAGTTGGAAGAGACGTCTAGAGCGACCAACTGGCAAGAGGGAAAGTTATGGGAGAGAGGGCTGCCGGGGTGAAGAGTTTTGAGGCGCCTCGAAAGTTATGGGAGAGAGGGTTGCGGGGGTGAAGAGTTTTTAGGTGCCTCAAAACTTGAAGTGTGGAGCAGCAACCAATGGTGGGTGGGAGGCTGGAGAGACAGTTGGAAGAGACGTCTAGTGTGACCAACTGGAATGGGGGATTGTTGGGAGAGAGGAAGGAGGAGGATGGACGGGAGGGAGTGAGGCGGATGAAGTTCCACGAGACGTCTAGAGCAAAGGGTACATCACTTTTGAGAATTCTTATAAGTGATTTCAACATACGAGACATCTAGAGTGTTCAACTGCAAAGGGGATTTTATGGGAGTAAGGGGCGAGGGCGGACTAACAGAATAGAATAGCAGGTGGTGATAAATTGGTTGAAGAGACAGACGATGGGAGATTGATGGAAGCCGCGTGCATTGAGGTGTATTTTGAGGCGCCTCAAAAACCGTTTCCTCCTTTGGAGACGTATCAAGAGTCGATTTGCATCAGCTTGCCTGCAAAAATACACCGCTTAAACTTTTCTACTCCATTGCTGCATGCTAACCAATCCCCCATCTCCTTCTTCCCCTCCTCCATTCCCCCCTCTTCCTCTCCTCGCCCACCCCCCCGCCCCCCTGTCCTCTGTACTTTTCCATTCCATCTAACTCTCCTTTGTCCCTGCGCCCTACTTTTCCAGCTTGAGCATGAGGAGGAAGGGGAGCAGGCACACACTTATTTCGTTTTGAGACGTCTCAAAAGCAGGCACACACTTGTTTCGTTTTGAGACGTCTCAAAAGCAGGCACACACTTAATTCCGAATCCTGATGCGCTGCATAATGAATGACTCAACAATCACCTCTTTCTACCGCACTCTCTTGTGGCCCTCTGCCCTTGCCTTTTCCAGGTTGAGTATGAGGAGGAGCGGGAGCAGGCACACACATACTTCTGATGCACTGCCATGCATTTTGAGTCGACTAAAAGCATGCCTCTCTACCAGCGGGAGCAACATTGGTGTTTACAAGTTGTGTGTGCGCTTACGAACGATGCATTACGATTTACAAATGTATCGCAAGAGTCAGTTTGATTAGAGGGAGAGCAGAGCAGCAGCCACAAGTATTTGTGATACCGGTAGCACAAATGTTTTGCGTCGAAGCGCTTCTGAGTTCAAAGGAGAGCAGCCGTCAAGATGGTGTGACACTAGTAATTGAATTCACACAAGTCATGCTAATAATACCGTATTGGGTTGGGCGATTGATGCCCAGGTGTAATCACTGGTTGGGAATCGCATGTTCCAAGCACATACGGTACCGGAAGCATTGACATGCAACACCAGCCAACATCTTTCAAGCACATTGTGCCATTTCATGTGCGATTGTTGCCCATATGTGAACATTAATTGTTGCACATACTACCGACAATCTGTTCATGCACTTAGGTTATCTCAAGGCGCGAACGCTCCACAATACCTTTAGTGTCTACTACACCTTGTCATATGTGATCAATCCTATATCCAAGCTCTGGTCGTTGAGCAACACATTGGCAGCAATCCGTTTGTCCACTTTGGTTACAATGTGTAGAGACATAAGCATTCCACAATACCTGTCTACTACACCTTGTCATGTGCGATCAATCCCTATATCCAAGCTCTGGTCGTTCAGCAACACATTGGCAGCAATGCGTTTGTCCACTTTGATTTTCCGCCTCTCCTCAAACTCATTGTACCCCTCCATCAGTTCAAACTGCTCCAGTGTAACCGCGTTGCCCCGTAGGGTAACCGTGTGTAGCCGCTGACACTTAACTAAAAGCTGTGCTGGGAGCTGTGTGGATGTAGGGAAGGACACGTTGCAATGTGGGGGAAGGGGAGGGAAGGAACGTGGGGGTGAGGAGGGGGTGAGGAGGGGTGGGAGGAGGGAGGAGGGAGGAGGGAGGAGGGAGGAGGGAGGAGGGAGGAGGGAGGAGGGAGGAGGGAGGAGGGAGGAGGGAGGAGGGAGGAGGGAGGAGGGAGGAGGGAGGAGGGAGGAGGGAGGAGGGAGGAGGGAGGAGGGAGGAGGGAGGAGGGAGGAGGGAGGAGGGAGGAGGGAGGAGGGAGGAGGGAGGAGGGAGGAGGGAGGAGGGAGGAGGGAGGAGGGAGGAGGGAGGAGGGAGGAGGGAGGAGGGAGGAGGGAGGAGGGAGGAGGGAGGAGGGAGGAGGGAGGAGGGAGGAGGGAGGAGGGAGGAGGGAGGAGGGAGGAGGGAGGAGGGAGGAGGAGGGAGGGAGGAGGGAGGAGGGAGGAGGGAGGAGGAGGAGGGAGGAGGGAGGAGGGAGGAGGGAGGAGGGTTGACTCAAAAGCAGAGAGAGCAGCATTTGTACCATTTGATAGTGGCAAGTCGGTTCGGAACATAACGTACATCAGTGAGTCGGTTATTATCGAGGGCGAGAGTGCGGAGGTCAGAGAGTTGTACCACCGAAGGGGGGAGACCTGCGATGCGGTTGTCTGAACATGGAGGTGGGGGAATCAAGAAGGGGGGTGGAGGAGGGGGAGGGTGAAGGAAGGAAGAATTCTGGGAATATTTTCAGATGGGTTGGCACACACATGCATGCATAGTAGAGTGCTTTGAACCGACTATATGAAGCGCGAATTGTGTCATTATCAGCACCTTGTACCAACGTACACTGTATCAAGATACATAGCGAAATCTGTTGTTGTGAGGTACCTTGTCATGGGGTACCTTGTAGCGAGATTTCTTGAAGGCTGGAGCAGCTACCGATGGTGGTTGGGAGGCTGGAGAGGCAGTTGGAAGAGACGTCTAGTGTGACCAGCTGCGATGGGGGATTGTTGGGAGAGAGGGGAGAGAGGGCAATGGAGGGACAGGAAAGGCGGGAGGGGGCGTGGGGGGGAGGGGTTGGTGGGAGACTGGAGAGACAGTTGGAAGAGACATCTAGAGTGATCAACTGGAATGGGGGATTGTTGGGAGAGAGGAAGGAGGAGGATGGACGGGAGGGAGTGAGGCGGATGAAGTTCCACGAGACATCTAGAGTGATTAACTGCAAAGGGTACATCACCTATGAGAATTCTTAAAAGTCCACTCAAAAGTCACCTCGTACAGCAGAAAGCTGGCCAATGGAGTACGAGGCATATGCTGCAGCTTTTGCGTCGCGCATGCGTGCACATGCCAAGCTCTAAGCACATGGCGCCTACTCTGAATACATACCGCTGAGAGCTGGCCGATGGAGTCTGGCAGATGTTGCAGCTTGTTGGTGGCGAGGGATAGGCGCTCCAAGCGAGACAGCGAGCCGACTGGGAGAGGAGGGGAGAAGGGCGGGGAGGACGGTGCGGGGGGGAAGAGAACGGGGAGGGGTGATGAGTCACAGCATCATGTGTTCGTTGGGTCTGGCAGGTGCTGCAGCTTGCTGGTGGCGAGGGACAGGCGCTCCAAGCAAGACAGCGAGCCAACTGGGAGAGGGGATGCGGTGGGGGGTTGAAAAGGGGGAGGGGGAAGGGCAGGGGGATGAGGGCAGGGGGGGACGGGCGGGGGGAAAGGGCAGGGGGATGAGGGCAGGGGGGAACGGGCGGGGGGAAAGGGCAGGGAGGAGGGGATGAGAAACAACCTCATGTGCTGATTCGGTTTGGCAGGTGCTGTAGCCCAACTATGTTGGAGTTGCTTTTGAGAAGAGCAGGCTGACGGAAACAGGCAGGCACCCCTCTGAACCCTTTTCACTCCTCCAGCACTCATCACAACTCCCTCCTACTCCCTCCTACCCCTTCTATTCACTGTTCATAGTGCTTACTTGCATCTGGCAACTCACTTTCGTTTGTGATGAATGCTCTGTGAATCTTTTGAGAATTCTCAATGCAAGTCACAAGAATGCAACTCACTTTCGTTTGGCAGCTCTGTCAATCTGTTACTTTCTAGCTGAAGGGCCTAGAAGGAGGAGAGCATCCCGATCGAAGCAGGGAAGAATTCGTTAGCCTCATATCACTCCTCCAGCATTAATCACAACTCCCTCCTACTCCTTCTAACCACTGTAATAATGCTCTGCTCACTTTCGTTTGGCAGCTCTGTCAATCGGTTGCTGTCGAGTTGAAGGGCCTTGAGGGAGGAGATAAGTCCGATGGAAGGAGGCAGGCCCTCTCAACCCTTTTCACTCCTCCAGAAGTCATCACAACTCCCTCCTACTCCCTCCTACCCCTTCTAACCACTGGACATAGTGCTCAACTGCATCTGGCAGCTCTGTCAACCGGTTGTTCTCCAGCTGAAGAGCCTTGAGAGACGTAAGCAGGCCGATGGAAGCAGGCAGGCACCCCTCTGAACATTGACACTCCTCCAGCACTCATCACAACTCCCTGCTACTCCGTCCAACTCCCACATACTCATTTTAACCACAGATTATAGTTCTCACTTTCATTTGGCAGCTCTGTCAATCGGTTGTTCTCCAGCTGAAGGGCCTTGAGGGAGGAGAGCAGGCCAATGGAAGCAGGCAGGCGCTCGATGCGATTGGTGGGGAGAACCAGCCGCTGCAGCGATGTCAGCCGTCCGATTGCTTCGGGTATCTCAACTGCACGGTTCAAATAGAGAAGGGACGGCAAAGGGTGGAATGAAAAGGAAGACGATAGAATAAATTCATTAGGTACAGATGTGAAGCAGAAAGCGAATATAGACGACTGGTTGTAGTGAGTCGATTTTTGAGTCGACTCAAAAATAAATTCATTAGGTACAGATGTGAAGCAGAAAGCGAATATAGACGACTGGTTGGTTATAGGGGGAACACCAGGTTACCAGCGGCTGCATTGAAGTTACCAGCTCAAAACACAACTTATTTCCTTGCGTTTACCTTTTTTGTCGTTGGACGCGTCTAGAGTGCGAGTTGATATGGTTACAATGTGGTGCTTATCATGTGGTTACCATGTTTGAGGCGCCTCAAATGTGGTGCTTATCATGTGGTTACCATGTTTGAGGCGCCTCAAATGTGGTGCTTATCATGTGGTTACCATGTTTGAGGCGCCTCAAATGTGGTGCTTATCATGCGGTTACCATGTTTGAGGCGCCTCAAATGTGGTGCTTATCATGTGGTTACCATGTTTGAGGCGCCTCAAATGTGGTGCTTATCATGTGGTTACCATGTTTGAGGCGCCTCAAATGTGGTGCTTATCATGCGGTTACCATGCGGTTGCCATACCTATTCTGTTGTTGGACGCGTCTAGAGTGCGTGCTGAGCCTGCTGCCTCAAAGACTGCATCAGGGATGGACTGGTGGAAAGCAAGGAGGGGAACGAGGGGGGATGGAGTACGAATAAGGTTAACGGGGACATTCAGGGCAAAAATATTGGAGTGACTATTGGCGTGTAGTGAGTCGATTTTTGAGTCGACTCAAAAATCGATTCAGGGCAAAAATATTGGAGTGACTATTGGAGAGTCAGGGAAATTCTCAAAAGTCACTCCAGGTTAACGGGGAGATTCAGGGCAAAAGAAAACAGATTTCTGGGCGAGAAAATAGGCCGGTACTGCATACACCGCATCGGGGATGTACTTGTGGGAAGCATGGAGAAGAATCAAGGGGAGTGAGATGCGGGGAAGCGGAGGGAAGGAAGAAAGGAGAGAGTATGCCACCTTGCCTACTATGCCTACCATGCCTACCATGCCTAACACGCCTATATGCTTAGCCTCCCCTCACCTTCAGATGCGCGTCCCTGAGGGCGACAATCCCGGTGGCCTTCCAGTTGGCTGCACGCTGAGGGAGGATCCTAGGCCCTCCGTCTGCCCAAAGCGGCATTCCCAAGGGAGAGCATCGCGTACCCGGTGCGTTGGTGCTCTAAACTCCCCACCCACCTTCAAATGAGCGTCCCTGAGGGCGATGATCCAAGTGGCCTTCCAGGAATGCCGCTTTGGGCGTCTGAGGGCCACTGAGCGAGGATCCAACGGTATTCCCAAGGGAGAGCATCGTGTACCCGGTGCGTTGGTGCTCTAAACTCACCTTCAAATGCGCATCTCTGACGGCGACAATCCCGGTGGCCTTCCAATTTGCTGCACGCTGAGAGATAGAGCAAGCATGCCTAGTACAAGGGCGGAAAGTATTGCTCACCCCACCTCCCAACCCCCACTCTTCACCTTCAAATGCGTGTCTCTGAGGGCGACAATCCCGGTGGCCTTCCAGTTGGCTGCACGCTGAGCGCTCGCCGCCGCCCTCCCCCCACCCAGCGCGGCATTCTCGAGGGAAAGGCTCGCATACCTGGTGTGTCCGAGCTTTATACTCCCCACTCACCTTCAGATGAGCGTCCCTCAGGGCGACAATCCCCGTAGCCTTCCAGTTGGCTGCGCGCTGAGAGCTCGCTGCCGCCCTTCCCCCGCCCAGCGCGGCATTCCCAAGGGAGAGCTCTATACTCCCCCCTCACCCACCCCTCTCACCTTCAAGTGCGCGTCCCTGAGGGCGATAATCCCGGTGGCCTTCCAGTTGGCTGCGCGCTGAGCGCTTGCCGCCGCCCTCCCCCCACCCAGCGCGGCATTCCCGAGGGAGAGGCTGGAGAGACCCTCCCCGAGCGAGTCTAGCCCGTCCTGGGAAAAGGATTTGAACGAGGATGAGAGGTGGACGAAAGGAGGAATAAACAAGCAGAGAGGAGGGCATTTTTGAGTCGACTCAAAAATCGCCTCATCACACGAGGAGGGCAGAGGACTGAGGAGGAGGATGGAAAGGAGTGACCGCCGAAGGAGTTCGAATGCGTTAAAGAGGAAACATTTTTCGTGTATCACAACGGGCGGCCTCACTAACCTTGACGTTTACGTTCCCCATTTGCGAACACCGTGCGACGGCTGAACCGCTTCTCTCGCGCAAAGTGGTAACCGTTACAGCTTGTGAGGGGACGGCGGGGTAAGGCTGGCCCTCTCGCGCGTGGTATGTCGCTTCCTATACCTCAACTCGCGCTCCGTGAAGTGGCGGGCGGTGCAAAAACAACCTACATATACTTTTTTCTTACGTTGAATTACTGAGACGCGACGCGACCGGGATTATTAGCAGCGTCGCAGCTGCGATATTTTAGTCGCACAGATAACTTGGTTGGGATGCTGCTGGTGCGACCATTTGAGGGCACGCTGCGATGCAGATTGGGGACAATGTGGGTATGCTTGGAAATTATATGAAAGCTCGCGACCAGACCGGGACGGAACCTGACTCGTTACAAAGTAGTCCACTAACGAAGCAGACAAATACTACATTTGCTTTCTATCATGAATGCTATATGCACTCAGTAAAAGCAGGATAATCCTGCAATGAATGCTCAATGCAGAAACGACCTAAGAGCAGCGACAGGGTCCCCTTGATGTTCCCGTAGCCTTCTCTCCGCTATTTTCTTGTCAACCTGAACACACGGACAGGAAAGGCAAACCTTCAGTGATAGTACGGGGATAGATAGTGGGGATGCAGAAAATGACCAAGCAAGCAGACGATAAAACTACAAATAATCGTAGCAACTTACCTCCATTTCTGAAGCAATCACATCAATGTGTACTGAGTCTATCTTCACTGCAGCCAGCTCCTTTTCCCTGCAATCCCAACCAGCCAACATGCAACGCAAAGCAAACAAAGGACATGAGCTGCTTCTCCCTGCAGTGCAAGCACGCCCTAGAGAGCCTCCCTCACACCCTGCTCAACGCGCCAAGGAGCCTCAGCTAAGTGTGGAGCTTACCGTAAGTATACTGTAAACACCATGTGATGCTATTGGCCCAAGTACACTAATGGTAATCCATGGTCCATGGTCTTACCTGGCGCGTTGAGCATCCCTGTCCGCCGCAGATGACGCCGCGATCGACGCCATGGCCTGCACCGGCAAAGGAACGAGCGTCAGCAGGACAGAGCAGGGAGACAGCAAGGCAGATGGCATTGCGGGGCGTGCGGAACTGATACTTGAGGCAGAACAGGCGTGCAGACCCAACAGATGGAACGGAGACTAGCAACAGTGCAGGGCATGCTGATAGATTTGGGACATCTCAAAAGTACGACTGTCAGATCCTGCTGAGGGCCAGGCAATGCGAACTAGCATAATCCGCTTTGGCTAATCACCGTGCCCTCATCAGTATCAATGTTCCCTCCTCGGTAATCCCAGAACTTCCCTGGTCAGGGACCTGGAAGTTGCCAAGACAGCAACAAAGCGTCTGCGGGTGCAATGGTACATTCGCGGAAGAGTCTGTCTGGCTAAATGCGCGAAACCCTGAACCATTCAAGTGGTCGTCTGAAACCCTAGGCCAACGCCCGCCTGTTCGGCTAGCGCATAAACACCATGCTGAGTTTCTATACCAGTCCGAATTCATTCCGTACGATACCCTTGTGCCTCTCAGTAGTGCTCCGCCATAATCCCCTTCAAGTCGGCGAGCAACCTTCTGGAATCTACGCGTGACTTAGTTAACATGGTGCGGAATATCTGAGAGCTATGAAAACACTTAATCAACGGGCCGCGTGTACCTCTTGGACTCGGCGCGAATCTAGTTGTCGCTCCTCCACATGGTCGGTGATGGAATCTAGAGCGCGACTCTGCTGCTGCATGTCGCGCGACGCGTCCTTAGGGACATCGTTAGTCTCAGTGTCGTCCGACATCGTGAATATCGAAGAAAGGGGAGCAACGAATAGAATTAGCGCCTGCGTGAGTCACGCTGATGTAAGAAAGGACGTGTAAGGACGCTAGACCCTGCTCGACTGCAAAGTTATTAGGTTTGCTGGACGGGTGGTGTGGGGATGTGGTGGAGATGACTATTTTGTGAGGACTTTTTTCGATAAGCAGATCTCGGCTTTGATTGCAAATATTATTTCGTTTTCGTGTGAAGCGCTCTGTAACGAGAAGTTGCATTTCATTCGGGGGGCTCTTGTTTGCAGGGTGGTTTTGCCTTCGCTGGTGTTTGCTTTGACTGCAGACTCTCAAACTGAACGAAACCCGTTACTGTACAGTGTAATGCAAGCCACCACCGTCATCGACCTACCGTTTTGCGTCCGCAGGCTCGGTCGTGCGGGCCCAATGACGGATTCTCTCGCCTTTGACGACACCTGCACGGTCACGCTATTGTCGTTTTCCTATTGCGACGCACGTCGGATGCATACGCGAATTCCCGCTAATCTCGCATTTGTGTTTCGCAGTTCCCATCACACACGGATGTATTGTCGCACGTGCCCGACATATTCTCGCGAAACAGAGACATTTCGTCCGTTGGCCCCTGCGCCTCGCCCGGGCCGCTCAACAACCTGGTGCGCTTCGTTAGAACGGCGTGACGAACCGCGTTTGCTGGGCTGGTTCGGATTCGGTCGGTAAGTGTTCCACCACACCAGCACTTTCTTGGGTGCCGAACCAAAAATTGCGCGAAAGGCGAAAGAAGCGGAAATTCGAACGTCTGAATGATGGTTTGGCAAATCGGTTTGGGATTTTTTTGGTGTTGTTGCTGTACGTTGGCAGGGATTGGGTTAGGTTTTCCTCTCACCCGCCGCTGGAATATACTCAACTCCCTAGTGCGATTCAGTGAGTGCTGTTCGATTAAAAACGGTTTTTTGTAAACAAAAACGGTTGAGGGGAGTATCAAGGACAGCCTCACATCATTGCACCGTGCGCTGGTGCGAATCCTGATTCCTGACTCAGTCTGATCCCTTCGTCGCCTGTGTGATGGGTGTGCTGCTTCCTCGGCCATTGGCAGTGAGGGATTGCTTTTGTTTAGCTAGGGGGTTTGGCTGAATCTAGGATGATGCAAACTTGAATTTGGAGTGAATGCGGTGCGTCATGAATGAGATGAAAAAGGACAAGGGTGAGGGGGGACGACTAGATGGCGAGGTGACACCCTGCCCATGCCCTTCCAGCCCCATCAACCCGTTGGCCTCTCTGTCTCCCTAGAAAGCTGAATGAGTGTCCCGCATTCCTCGTATAGGTGGCAATTGCCTCGCCTCGCAGCCCTACCCGACCTCCCAAATTTCAGATTCGCTCAAACAGAACCACGCCAGACCAGATTCAAGAGTACAGTATTTATTATGTGAATTCCCACTTCACCTTCCATCGCTGGCGACCTGCCAGTATAGTCAGCGCGAATTCTATTTCCTACCAACATGTGCTGAGATCCTTCCTGCCGTAACGTGTTCCTTGCCCGCATTCAGGTAACTTTGTCCAGTCTAAGCTTTTAGCCCAGTACTACAGCTCAGCCTTGTCTCCATCCGCGGACCTCGCCGTTATCTGTAATACAGCTAACGCCGAGAATCTCTACATACCTGTCTCGCAGTCCCGCGCTTAAGTGCCTAATCGCGTTCTTAGCCGCCACAGCAAGCTGCACGCTTACTCGCACAAGCCATTCTTTATGCTGGTATTCCATGGTGGTTTTGCATGAGCCTAACGCTGACGATAAGCTGCTAGAATCGCATTTGGACGATTTTGCCGCGTATGATCGCCTCGCATTCTACAAAATAGGAAGCACTAGTACCTCGTAGCTCGCGTTTTTTTTTTTTTTTTGGTCCATGATGCCGCCTAGCGGATGTCAGTTAGCTTAGCCGAGTCTTCCAGCCTGCTACAGTGCGTGTTTCGTAAATTTGCGGCATCTACGAGTTTCCACGCTTTAAGCTTTATTCGTAACATATATTCCCTCTTCTATCTTCTGCCGTTAAACTGTGACTACGACGAAGGTTCTAATATGTGCCGATTCATCCTTTCCCTTTGTGCAGAAACGACATCGCTGAGGGAGAACGCGTGACACTCGCGAATTCCGTGCTCTGGCTAAGAGTAACTCGATACCCGGCTCCTCTGTCACTAACCCTGGGTATTGCTTTCGGGATAAGATGGGGGTCGAAGAATGATAGCTGCGGAATGAGCGGTTCCTCCTTCTTTAAGAGACGGCTGTTGTGGACTGAAACTTGATAGTGGCTCAGCTTGCTTCTCACCGCAGCCTTTGCAGGCAGAGGCCTAACGCAAGCCGTCACTTTCTTTAAGATTGACGCGTTCTGTTGAAGTTGTCCTCCAAAAAAATAACTTTTTTCCGTCAGTCAACACGGCGCAGGGACATTTGCGGCCGGCTCTGCTGCGAGCCGCGAGCGGCAACGGCGGCTGCAGCACGCTGGCAGCGGCAGCGGCGGCAGCGGCAGCGACGGTGGCGGCTGGGGTCACGGCGGGTTCAGATTTTGGAGGAGGGTCGCCAGGGAAGCTGCGAAAGATGCAGAGCTGGAAGAATAAGGCGGTGGTGATGTGCTCCAACAACTTCTGTCGCAGAACGTCGCCTGGCGACGGACCGTATGTACCACAACCCCACCATTGCCAGTGGTATTCATCATTCCTTCCTATGTATTTCTCTCTAACGCATGCCCGACACTTCGCATCTCAACTGCTTTATTAAGCATTTTTTTTATGCCTATTAACTCTAACCAACCCGAATACCCCTTCCCATTCCGCAGGACTTGCCGCTGGCACGTGCGAAACTACGGCAGCGAAGACGATCCCGTGAATGTTACCCTATGTAACGCGTGCAAGATCAATTTCGATCAGGTTCGTATAACTATCAGGAGCTGGGATCTCCAGGTTTCCTCTAGCTACGGGTAGTCTCAAGGTGGGAGTGTTTCCAGGTTCAGACTGCCTCGCGGTATTCCCAATGCCAGGCTACTTTCAGGAATTTGGTTAGTCTTGGTCCGAGCCGCCTTGCTGTGTTCCCAGTGCCGGATGTTTGTACCGCGCCGCCCCGAAGTTGGAGATTCAAGACTGAACCGAAATCTTTCTTCAGGAACAACCCAAGGCCCCGCGGTATCCCCAGTGCCGGAAGGGAATCACGTGACCGTGTCTGGCTGTGTTTTTTACAAGGTTTATAAGCCCTGTCTCTTTGGCGAATGTCTTTCAATCCGGCATTGACTTGTCTTAGCCTTCGTTCACTAAATTCTTTATTTCTTCTTTCCGTTCTTGCTGGTTCTTGGTTCTTGTTGTTGTGTGTATGCTGCAGGGCAAGTACTGTCCCTTCTGCGTTCAGATCTACCGCGAGAGGGATCCAGACAGCTTCGACAAGAAGCAAGTGCGTCTTCGGCTTAGATAGATATTTCCTAGTCGCCAAGCATGTTCGTGGTGTCAGCGTCCCTAATCGTCCGCGTTCATCGGTCCCCGTTAGTCCTTAGTTTCCCTTCCCCTTACTCGAAGCTTTCCTTGGTTCCCTCGATATCCCCCTTCCGTTCCACTCTTTCAAACGTCGACCTCATTCGTTACATTCGTCCATCTGTCCCTCAGCCTTGCACCAGTATCTATCAGCTGCAATAAAGCAATGATAATCATAATTGGTGGTTCATCTTAACGGCTCTTATTGATGGTTCTCATTGGTGGTTCTCACTTCCCCCTCCTCCGTCTCTCTCCTCCCCTAATCTTCCCCTCACAGTGGATCGGCTGCACCAATCGCAACTGTCGCCGCTGGTCGCACGAGGAGTGCGAGATGGAGTACGGAATCGACGTCTCCAAGATCGACCGTCGATCCTACCAATGCCCAGGATGCCGCGACGCGGGCAAGGTACGGGATTACCTTAATCACGCAGTCGACGCCCTATCCAGAGATTTCCGTCCCACACATGTCCAGTGCTTTGATTCCGACGAGGACCGTCGCTTAGGCCGCAACCACGCGGCGGATTTTCCATGTGCATGCCACCCCCTCCCTCCTTTCAATCAACCTCCTCCTTTCCCCGGTTCCTCCCACCATCCTAATCCCTTCCTTCTATTCCGTCGCCCGCTCCCTTCCCAACCATGTCCAGCACTCCGACTGCAACGACCGCCGTCGCTTGGGCCGCCACAACGCTGCGCGTTGCCTCAGTGCACCTCATCCCCCTCCTTCTTGCCCCTATCTCCCCCCGTCCAGCACTCGGACTGCAACGACCGTCGTCGCTTGGGCCGCCACAACGCGGCGGATCGCCTGGCGATCGCGCAGGCCGCAGCAGCTGCCGCGGAAGCGGGCGGCGCAACCGGGGGAGAGAAGGACCGCAGGGGAAGTGGAGGGGGCGCGGATAAGCCCGGGGGGTCGGGTTCCCCTGGGCGGATACTGTTCGGGGGAGGGACGGGCGGAGGGGGAGGTGGAGGGGGGTCGGTTCCTAGTGGGCGGCGGAAGAGTAGGCAATCCAGCGGCGGTGGCGCTGCTGCTGCTGGTGGGGTTTCTGGTCGGAACAGCCTGCTTGCTGCTGCTGCGGCGGTGGCTGTGGCTGCTGTTGCTGCATCCCCCGCATCCCCGCTATCAGGAAGAGGCCAGGGTACCGCAGGGGGAGCAGGGGGAGCAGGAGGGGGAGAGGGAGGGGCAGGGGGAGATGGAGCGGGGGGAGGAGGGAGGAAAGGTGCGGGGGGCGGAAGGGGGAGTGGCAGTGTCAAGGTGCTGTTTAAGGGGGGTGCGGGGAGGGGAGGAGGAGTAGGGGAGGGGGAGGGGGAGGCGGTGAAGAGTGACGAAGGGGGGAGTGCACAGCATGGCAGCTGTAACGACACTGACAGCGACACTTTCCCGGTAAGCACCCGTTTTGCCCACAACCACCCGCCTCGAAGAATACCAACCATCCCTCCTCCACCGCCCCCAGCCTCTCACCTCCCTAGTCCTCCCCCTCTCAAAACAAACCCGATCCTCTCCAATCACCCGCCTTCTCTGTTTAGATTTCCTCTCTTTCAGGCACACCTAATTTGTCTCCGCCCGTTCTCCTCCCCCTCCCCCCAGGGACTGCAGGACTCGCTGCACTCCCCGAACCCCTCAAGCGACTCAACCCCTGGCGACTTTTGAGGCGCCTCGTGAGTCAGTTCCTCCACCTAATTGATACGCTCACCTGTCCCCGCCCTTTCCCCTCCCCCTCCCCCCTCCCCCCTCCCCCACCTCCCACTCCCCCCAGGGACTGCAGGACTCGTTGCACTCCCCGAACCCCTCGAGCGACTCAACCCCCGGCGACTCAACCCCCGGCGACTTCTGAGGCGCCTCAGAAGTCAGTTCTTCCACCTAATCAATTCGCTCACCTGTCACCGCCCTTTCCCCTCCCCCTCCCTCCTCCCCCCTCCCCCCCTCCCCCCTACCCCCCCGCCCCAGGGACTGCAGGACTCGTTGCACTCCCCAAACCCCTCAAGCGATTCAACCCCTGGCGACCATGCTGACTCAGCTAACCGCGTTGACCGCATTGACCAGTCAAAGCCCGAGCTTGCCATTGACCAGCGGATCCACCCCGTTGACCACATTGACCACATTGACCCTATGGATACAACAGACGACAAGGGAGCTGGAGAAGTGGAGGGAGAAGAGGGCGAGAGGGAACGGAATCGAAAATCGTCTAGCAGTGGCCACCACAGCAATAACAGCCAAGATAACAGTAACGAGTATGATAACAGCGAGTATGGATGGAAGAAATCTCCTGGAGCAGCAGCAGGAGCAGCAGCAGCTGCGGTGGCGGGGTCTGTGCTGCCTCGGAGCAGCAAGAGGGTGCAAGGCAGCAGCGCCAAGCCTCTCAAGGTGGATTTATCCAAGCTGCAGACGAGCTCCCTGCGGCGCTACAAGCGAGTCTACAAACTCAGAGACGCTTCTTCTGGCAAGGTGGGTGTCTGGGTTAAGTGGGTGCTGGGCTGAAGTGGGTGGTGCATGGCCTAAGGGGGTGCAAGGCAGCAGCGCCAAGCCTCTTAAGGTCGCCCTTCCCAAGCTGCAGACGAGCTCCCTGCGGTGCTGCAAGCGAGTGTACAAGCTCCGAGACGCGTCTTCTGGCAAGGTGGGCGCTTGGCTTGTTTTCAGCTCAAGAGGGTTCTTGATTCTATATACCAGCCTGTTTTCCCTCTCCACGTCTTTCTCACTGTTCCGGCATTCCCAGAAGTTTTTACCTCACTGTTTTGAAGTTCACCAATTTCTACAGTCTCCGCTGCACTTTCCTCCTACAATCCAGTCTCTCTCTCCCTTCCTCTCTCAACCCTGACATCCCTCTAACAGGAGGAGCTCAAGCTTGCAGTGGCACAGCACTTCGCGAGTCTGGTACGTCCCCTGAGTTGCAGGCAGTGTAAAGTCCGTGCAACCAGCAGGGAACTAAGTAAGCTTTTGAGTCGACTCAAAAGCAGATGCGAGTCTGGTACGTCCCCTGAGTTGCAGTTAGTTTAAAGTCCGTACAACCAGTAGGGAATCAAGTAAAAGCCACTAATCAGGCCAAGTATGTTAGGGGAGACGTTTCTGCTATAAGCAGAGTCACTGCACTTCATGACTCAACGTCTAGCTACTGTATTTCCAGTATTCTGTTGGATAAAAAAAATTGGTGATTCTGCTTTATCCCTGGCCTTATTCTCTTCCCTCACATCCTTCCTTCCCTGTTGCTTGCGCTTCCAGGTTGTATCTGAGGAGGAGATTATCCACTCCCTGGTGGAGGTATTTTCCCGGCGGTACCACCAGCGAGCAGCAGCAACAATCATGTTGCCTCAAAAAACACCTCTATACCTCTCTCTCCCTGTCCCACTACCTTGGTGCTTCTAGGTCGTATCTGAGGAGGAGATTATCCACTCTCTGGTGGAGGTGTTTTCTCGGCGGTACCACCAGCGAGCAGCAGCCAATGCCACGTCTGAGGCCCCTGCTGCAGCTGCTGCAGCTGCAGAAACATGCTCTTAAGGAACCGAGCAGTCTGATTGGGCGATCTCGATGGAGCAGTGGCAGCAGTGAAAGCAGTGGTAACCCGAAAGAAAGGCAGTAGCAGGCTCCTCCAACTGGCGCATCTGCACGGCACTGCAAGGCGCGCGCATCTGCACGGCATTGCGACCTGTACTTAGAACCTCCCCCTGCTGCTGTTGGTGCTCATGGAAGGAGTGGGCAGTGGAAGTAGTGGGAGCAGTGGACAAGTGAGGAGTCGTACCTAATCTGACACATGAAGTGGTGCAGTAGCAGCAGTGGGAGCAGCTACAGAACAGGGGAAAGAACACTAGGAAAGTAGGAGATAAGTAGGAGTAGGAAACCTAGCTGGAAGCGGATACAGAGCACTGCAGCAATGGTAGGTTTGCATCGTGTTTACGAGTGGTGGCAGCGGCAGTGGCAGCAGCAATGGCTGGCAGGAGTAGTGGGAGCAGGTGGGGAAGCTGCAACTAATTTAATCAGTCAAGTGTGTCAGCAGCACTTCTACCTGATGCAGAACTTAAGAGCTGCGGAGTGTCTGCCCCAGCAGTACAGAGTGTGCCACCCTCCTGTCAATGGGAGGTAGTTCAGTTGATCAGTGGTCAGCAACTGGCCATAGAGTAAGTTCTCCCATTATGGGATGTTAGGAGAATTGTAATAACTTAGGTAATTAGACTGCCCTGTAACTGTGACACCTAACTAGTGGACGTGATTCAGCTTGCATTTACTACCATGTTCTTCCGCTGGGCCTGAGAATTTTCAGTCTCTTTGACACCTGAATTTATAACTTAGCAATTGATATACAGTCGTAAATTGAACTCTTTAGTGTATCACCATCGATCAAATGACGACCTTTGTTTTAACGAGGATGTCGTTCACACTTGCCCACTGGGTTTCAAGGGCGCGATCCGAGGACACTAGAAAGCGGGCGGTCTCGCATGTGGCCCCACACACGCACACTTGCGCCCACCCACACGGCACCCCCACAGCCGGTCAGTGGTCGCGGCGCAGGCGCCAGCCGAACAATTCTGCATGAAAGCAGCACAAAGCAACACATTTCGCTCTAATACCGTACTGAACCCACCAAGAAGCCTCTTTCTCTACTCCAAACCCGAGTGCTTCAAGCATCCATCCAGACTCCAGACTCAGTGAACACTTGAACCGCCATGGCCTCGCTTGTCGCAAGCACTGATATAAGCCACGAGCAGCTAGATCATCCACAGCATATTCTTGTCGCCTCGTCACACCACTCCACTTCCACCTACTGAAGCAGCAATTGGCAAGGCCAGACTTATTCTGTAGACCTTAAATTAAGTGCGATATAAATATTCTCGTGATTTAATCGATCCGCGCTTGGGATCATAGACGCTTCCCCGTGTTGTGTTACGACCTTTTCGTCATTCCTGAAGTGTTGGGCATATTGAATCCCGACAGCCATGGAAGCGGGATCGAGAATCTCCCATCTTATTTTCGCCTTCGCTTTGCTCTCCCTTCTTCCCGCCACAATCTTAGCCGACGAAGATGTCAGTCAGGGTACACTCATCAGCTTATACGACAGTAAAGATTTTCGCTATAGCGAGTTCACCGCGTACCACGCCATCCGGCCCGACCCGCGCGCGCCGTGCCACGATCTTCCCGAGGAGCTGGTCGGTCGCGTCGGGTCGCTGATGATTACGTGGAACACTCGCGATCACACGAAAAGGCACATGATGTGTAACACGGTGTGGTTCTTTTCGGAATCGCAATGCGCGGGCGTCGCGACGGGGATCGAGCTCCCGGACGGTCCGCAACACGCGAGTCCGCGCAACTACAGCTACGGCTTCACCGTGAAGAAGTGAGCACTACCGTTCTGTTTCGTGGATGCCGTTGAAGTCGTTCATTTCGGTTCCACGCGTAGCGACACGGGGGGAAGCAATGCGAGGTTTGGTATGGAGAATTCTGGCCGTCTTACGCGTTTATCTTTTTTTATGTCCCTTGCTTCGTTTCAGGAACGTCCGCGGACCGCTAGCGTCAGTGGCTTCTGTCGGCTGCTCTTACAGTAAGTTTATTTCAGCTCCTACTCCATTTTCAGATCCCAGTCTTCCTTGCAAAATATGATGCCCTGTGTAATTTAAACACTCCTGCTTTTACGCCTAACCATGCTCCTGTATTTCTGTTTCTTGCAGCGCCTAATCCCTGCTCTCTCTATGGCTGCCCTGCACATTCGGTGTGCGACTCAGCGCAAGGAATGTCACATATGTGCCTCTGCAGAAAGGGGTTTATCAAAATCAAGAATCAGTGTGTTTGGGCAGCAGGGTTGTCATCCACATAGGTGGGCCCCGTCCTTTTTCGTAGCCTTGCAAATAAAGTGAAAGTGGGTCCAAGTTATTCGCTTTTCCGTATTTTGAATGTAATGTGCTGTACACTAATAAATAAAGCACATATTGCAACCAGATCCCTCACCCAAGAGATATGTGTATTCGTGTGACGAGGAGGACCCGATTGATTCCACCGACCGCGTCGCGTTGATTCCAAATGCATCTCGAGCCGCATTTCTCGAACGCGGACATTCTGCTGTTGCAAATTCGCTCCACATCAAACACATATTCCCTCCTTCCCAACCCAACCCCACAGTGAAATCACTGATAAGATTTGTTGTGAATTTGAAATTTGGGTTCCTACTAGTAGTAGCAGTACCACCATCTCGTTGCTTCCAGCATTGTCCATTCACTCACACTGCATCTTCCCAGATGGAACACGCACTCATCGTTCTCGCCATATTATTTATCTCGGCGGGAAAGGCCACCGTAGCAGCCAGCTTCGATCCAGTAACTCAAATTACTCTGTACAACCAGCCGCGCTTCTTCAACTCTCCAGTCACTCTCAGCGAGTTCATCGTCAGACCAGACCCGCAGGTCGCATGCTACAATATCCCCTCCGCTTTATCCAGAAACATAGGCTCCGCGAAAATCGCGTGGATCACGAGAACCACGAGTGCGACACGTGTCAGCCGCAGCACGGTGTGGTTCTTTTCCGGGTTGAAGTGCGCTGGGACGCCCAAGGGAATTCCGCGGCCTGCGACTGTATCAAATGCGTCCTCTTCTTTAAGCTTCATAAGGTGAGTGTCGCATTCGATAGCTCTTCACAGGGTGATTTTCTCATCAGCCCGTGTTCTTCATAGCCTGTCGGATCCGTTTGCCACTGTTTTTTCTTCTGAAACTGATGTTTGAGACGTGGCAAAAATCGCATTCTTCGTACATTGTTGCATCCGGTTGGCGGTGTTTTCCTGAACATGAATCTACGGCTGACACTGAATTTTTTTTTTTTGTTATTGCATCGCCTGTTCTTTTTTCCGTTCTGATCTTGCAGTGTAATAGCCGAGCCAATGAGGTCAGCGGCTTCCATAGCATGCCCCTATGGTGAGTGAGAGAACATTGGGACTCTGAAGCCTTGCCTTCAAATACATCGAACCCGTGTTGTGCCGTTCTCCCATGCCCTGCCAACTCAGTCACATAAAAACAAAACAAAACAAAACAAAATAAAACAATGAGTGCCTCCTAGCACATGCTACCCAACTGCCTCTTTTTGCTCTGGACTCTAAAATTGGAAATCCCGGTTCTGAATTTCCTCTGTTTTCTCGTTTTGCATCCCTCCCACTCCCTGTTCCTATGCCGTTTCGCAGACAGGAACCCATACGCCGTTGTTCCATGCCCCGCCAACACCACATGCACCTCCTATGGCAACACCGCGCACGCATGCCCATGTGGCACTGGGTTCACTCAAGTCAACGGCAACTGTGTTGGTGCGTGCGTCCATCGCATGAGTCTCCATATAGCTTCTGAATCAGAGTGCCGATGTCCCATGGCCTGCCAATTCTGCATGCATCCCTGAAGGGAACACCGCGCACGCATGCCCATGTGGCTCTGGGTTCACTCAAGTCAACGGCAACTGTGTTGGTGCGTGAGTTGATATCACACAGCCTTTCACGTCGCATTGATTGACTGTGAATCGACTATGAGCTTTGAGCATGGAGATGGACAGTATCATGTGATTCATAAAGTCCTTGATCCTTTTGCGGTGTGTGTTCGAAGCGCCCTAACCTTCATTTCTCCCACACTTTTCAACAATTTCTCCCCTGTTTCCCCCACTTAGACAAGTGCACGGCCAGGAATTGTCCGGTAAACTACTTTTGAGACGTCTCAAAAGTCTTTTGAGATGTCTCAAAAATTGTCCGGTAAACTCCTCCTGCTATCTCCGTGGGGGAGCAGCAGAGTGCAAGAGATGGTTTGTTCAGCAATCCAACGGCTCCTGTTCGCCGCAGCCCGCTTACGATGAGTGGCTGGGATTGCAGAACGACGCCAGAGCGTCGGTTGGATCGCCACCACTCTTTGGAATGACACCTGTGAGTGAGGGTTGAATTTCTGAGCCAGTTTCGATATGGGAGAAAAGTTGTTGTACAATCTTTGTAGAAAATGATGCTGCTCGTTTGATACCTGTGAATGATGGCTGTGGAATGATATATGGTGGGGGGGGGGACGCAGGGGGGGGGGTGTGGAAGGGGAAGGGAAGAGAAAGGGGTTTTAACTTCTGCCAATTAGGGAATTCATGCCAATATCTGGGTCCTACAATTCCTCCCGTTTCTCTTCCTCCCTAAATTCTTTTCAATCAGTGGCAGCGGCAGCACGGGCATGGGGAAGCAAGCTAACCTCCACATCCTGTTACAATACCACCCTGGAGAAAGGGGTTCCCTATGGCCAGAACACTCTGGCTGCATATGGGTTTGCATGCTAATATCTGGTCCCTCATCTTCCTCCCATGATCCTTCCAAACAGTGGCAGCAGCAGCACGGGCATGGGGAAGCAAGCTAACCTCCACATCCTGTTACAATACCACCCTGGAGAAAGGGGTTCCCTATGGCCAGAACACTCTGGCTGCATATGGGTTTGCATGCTAATATCTGGTCCCTCATCTTCCTCCCATGATCCTTCCAAACAGTGGCAGCAGCAGCACGGGCATGGGGAAGC